GGGGATCCTTTTTAGTTGAAGGGAACAGCAGACATCCCTATTTTGGGGTCCTGTTTAGCAGCACGCTGCATATGTTTCGCTGGTTCCTCTTTGATTTGGGATTTGCTCCGAGGCCCGAGCAGGAAAAAACCGTTTGCCCGTTGCGGTTAGAGGCCACCTGGCGTCCTGAGCTACTTGCTCAAAACCCTGGTGGATGCGAGGGTTCTGGGGTAGACTTAGGACACTTTGTGCATTTTACCGGTGACTCAAATTGAAGCAAACAATGAAATTATACATTCTATAACTGGGCCTGACTCTAATCATTGGCCGGGCAATCCCAACCATAAGTGGTCGCGGCCGCCTGAAGCATACTGCGGCCTCACTTTGAAACCATGGGAAGCCCATTGTTTACAAGCGAATCATCCGGGTAATTAGGTACGGTTCAGGATTTCGCCCGCCCATAATTACAGGCCCGAAATGGAACGGTGAATGGAAAAGGTGCCCGGGCTTGCGTGGATCCTGGAAATCTGGTGTTTGGTTTTCTAGTGCCTGGCTCAAGGGCCCAGCAACCCGTGTAGAACCCAACGTCACTTCCCCAGAATCAGCTCCCCTTTTTTTGCGTTTTTTGGGGGTCCCTTTGTTTTCCACTAACCAGGCAGAAAAGATCATTTTTTGCTGGGGTCCTACTTCCAGCCTACGTCAGTGGGCACAAGGGCCGCCAAAAAAAAACAAAATCGCCGAGGTCGGGCCAGTTCCAGGAGGATTGGCCCGCGGGTTCGAACCCGCGGCGCACGTTTGTTTCAAAGAGAGGGCCGAGTCCCGGGCCGAGCAGACAGTCGAGCCAGTTTCATATGGCTGTGGCTCAACGAAATGTACCAAAATGGCACCTGAGCCACAATCAAACCTGGGTAGATGAAGGTTAGTAAGGGGCAGTCCCAGCCAGAAATAGTTGCGGCCGCCTTCTTAATTCTTTACATGGTTCTGGGTAGACCATTTAAATACCGGGTTTTGATTGTGACTCACCTTGGTAAATGGAACCTTGCAAAGACTAAAAGCTGCGTAACCCTAGCGCTTCAATTTTGAGCCACACCCATGTGGCTGGGGTTCAATTTTTGCGGGGCGCTCGACTGGAGCTAGCATCACGTTTTATGCGGCTGGGTTCCGAATTTTGCCCGGTTCTTGTTCCCTTTTCGTTTGGTGGATTTCCCCCGCTCATCATTTCTTCCTATGAAAAAACCTTCCCCTAATCATAAGACCCCCGAGGCGGCCCTAAAAATTTGCAATATTTATTTCAAATTAGCCAAGACTAAACCAACACTAAACTTTCCCGAGACCAGATCCACTCATCGAAACTCTGCAGATGTGCTTATTAGGAGTCGCCCTGGTCTGACTCAACAGTTGTGATCATTCTGAGTACTTTTGCCCTCAAACCAAAGGGGTGCATAGTGTTTTATTAGTTAATTGGGTTTCTTTTGGGAAGAAACAAACAAGAGCGCCTTTCCTTTACAAGTTCTTACTCGGAAATGGCATTTTGAACACCTTCTCTGCAAAGCAAAGGGGTTTCCCTTTGTCGTTTGATGCCAGTACCAACCAACGCAGTCTGAAGCAGTTCTGGCCCAACACCCGGGGACCTTAACAACAAAGCCCCGGAAAGGTTTTTTGTTGGGTCATGAATAGGGGGAGAGGATGAAACAAGTCACCCTAGAAAAGGGTTCCCTTTTCGATCAAACCCACTGGGCAAGTAGGTTGTCTTCTTGCCTCCGATTTCTCAAGTTGGTAGAACCAAACGTCAACGGGTTGGGGTTCCTGGGTAATAGTCGGACTTGTTTGGACTTGGGCCTCGATATTTTTGCGTCTCACCAGGCTGTTGCTGATAGCTGCCAGAGGCCGCCAACTCGACCATCGGCGCCGCGTTTCGGCGCCGGTGGATCCCATCAGTAAAGCAAGCCAGCGAGCGAGCAGGCAATCCATTTAATCCGGCACTTCACAAGCGAGAAAGAGAGAGAGAGAGAGAGAGAGACAGAGAGAGCCCATGAAAGAGCCACAATCTAGTCGAGGTGTTGTGATCTCTAATTCCACGGAAACAAATCCCCCAACAAATACCCCGCATTTGCTGTAGCGCCGGATAAGTCGGATATGTTTCATGTGGGTCGCCTCTGGCTGAGAAAGCTGCTTGAAAAGCGGCTGGGGCCTTGTGCCCACTCTTTTGACTCTTTCGCAGAAAGACTTGCGGGACTGCGCAAGCTCGGGCTTGCCGAGTTTTTGGCGCTTCACAGTCACACGGCACACTCCGGCATAGAAAGGAAAGCACCGGCGCGGCCGCCGTGTGATGTTTGTCTTGCCTGGGCTTTGAGATTGATTGTTTCCTATAGGTTTGGCGGCTGGTTTCGGTCAGTGCCTGGATTGGTGAGTCGAACGCCAAGCCACGACCCACACCAGATCAACGGGCTACATGCACTTTCTTCCCTAAACCCTCCTCAAACAAACCCTCAACCCAATCACACCCTAAGCCAGCTCTAAACCAACCCAGAAGCCCTTAAACCAACCCAAACCCAACCCGAATCCAACCCTAAACAAACCTTAGCGCCATATCATTTCGGTGACAGGTCCAAGGAAGCTGCCATAATCGCAAGCTGCCCCAGCCTTGCCGCTGAAGCCTTTAAAGCGTATGTTTCTTGCTTGTGAGAGGGCTGAGAGGCGCAGGGCCAAGCTGCTGTGGCACTCCCGCCGCAGACAATCTAAACAACTACCCTATGGCTCCCGATTGTTTTTGGTTCAGAGCCAATGGCCTGCATTGTGAAGGTCATGAGCCTTAGGGTATAAATCGGTATAAACCAACCTTGAACCAACCTTGGATGAGGACCAAGCCTAAACCGACCCTAAACACAACTTAAGCCAACCACTTAACACCCTAAAACCTGCCTGCGCAAACCATGATCCCAGACCCAAACCAGTACAAACCTAGCCTTAAAGCCAGCTTACCAACCCAACACGAGCGTTCGCCCTCACTGCAGCAGCTTTTGGCCGCTTCTGCAGCCCTGGCGTCCTAAGCACTACTCCAGCAACCCACACTCAGACCCTGAACCGCCCCTAACCCAACCTCTGGCCCCATTATTTTACCATTGTCCAAGTCACCCCGAAGTGGCAGGGTAAAGGACACAACCGATTCCATTTTCTGACTTTGACCACCCTTAGAAACCTTCCCAAACTAATGACCCCAGAACCTTGAACCTTCCCAAAACCATCACCATAACCCACCCAGAACCAACCTGAAGCTAATTTCAGTCTAAACCACCCCCGAAACGCATCGTACCAACTCCTAGCCAACAAAACTACCTTTAAGCAATCCCAAACGCACCCTACACGCCTAACCAGCCCTCAACCCCCACATCCTAAACGCAGGGTGGACCAATTCTAAACATCCTTCACTACCTCACTCTGCACTAAGCCTATACCCACCCAACCAAACCTAAACAACTCATACCACTGGATGTCCGCTTATGTCGAGAAACTGTTGCAGACTGGCATGCTCAACGCAGCGAGGCCTTTCGCCAATTCGTCACCAATTTTCTAAAACACACATGCACCTGCTTTACACCAGCACCGTATCCCCGTCATCGTTTGTGACACCCCAGCATCGTTCTAACACCATCGGCGGGGGATCATTTTAACCCTCCAAGAATTGTTTCAACCGTTCACCCTTCTGATTTAACCGGCCTTTCTTTTTCTACGATCAGACCAAGTGAGATTGCAATGGGGAGTAGCTCATCACTTCCAGGGCCAGAGATCTCAACAGATGAAGAGGGCCAGCCAGCCAGGATGCCAGACTTGTGGACCTTGAGCGTTCATTGTAAAAACGCATTATTGTGCCCGTACCTAGGAGAAAGAAAGCCAAGCCTGGGCCAAAACCTTCCGCCTGGCTTGGCTTGCTTTGTGGTTCCTGGGGGCGTTGGTTGCCCGGCTGCTTATTTTCGTGGTTGGCTTGCTGACTGGCTCGGTGAGTTGTGGAGGGTTGTGTTTGGTTTTGCGCTTAGGGCTGGTGGACCACAGTTGAATCAAAACCGGGTGCCCAAGAAGCAGCGAAGAGTCAATAGGTCTGGGTGAATTATAACGACCTCACACGACCGAATTCACCCCAAATGGTGCTTCATGTGGGGAATAGCCCCCCAACCACCTTATTTCGGGTTGGTGAAATATTATAATTGACTCAGATAGGTCAAAAGGCCAAGCGGGCGACGCCTGTCGCCGATCCACGCCGAAAGCCTGCAGGTAAGCCCACATGACCGAAGAGACGTCGCTTCCCACCATGCAAACCGGCGTGCCCTTTCAAAAGGGGAACACTGAAACGGCTCTAAGGTCTGATAGGGAACCACCCCGCAAGTGTGCACCGAAGGGTCAGAGACAAAAGGAACACCGAACCATTTTGAGGGTCCAGTTCCTCTTTGGACACAAGCGCAGACCGCAACCGGTTTCTTGGTTGTCGAATCAAGTTGTGGCTCCAAAACAAAAACCACGTTTTCTGCCCGTTACTCCAAGGATTGCAGAGTAGAGATTGGCAGGGTCCCTGAGCCTGCTGTTGGTTAGTTTTTTCGGCTCGTGTTGGAGCTTCGACCGATTGTCGTGGGAAGCTCCTCCTCCAAACCAATTCAAACCACCATTTTTTGCTCCTTGCTTCGCGACCTTTTCAGTGAGACTTTGGGTTTTAGGCCCCTTTCAAATTGATATCGGGGAACCCCCTCAGGCATAAAGTAGTCTAGAATTCGACTGCCACCTGGGCATCGCAGGAAGGGACAACGGATCTCCACCATAGACACCCGATCCCTTGGTGCAAAACTTTCTTGGGCTGACGCAGCCACTCAGAGCACTCGATTTCGCCCGCAGAAGGAAACCGCCCAACGGGTGAACTATAACGACCCGGCCTCACTCCAAATGGTGGTTTATGTGGGGGGTAACCCCCAACCAACTTATTTTGCTTATGTCAGGTTCGTGAAATATTGGGGACTCCTCGTGGTACCCTCCGCAGCCAGTTTCGGCTGTTGTCGCCGCAGCTTCAGGGGCCATGGCCTTGGCATTTGTGCCAACCGAGGCGCCTCACCCGCCCGAAGCGCACGAAAAATCCACCCCCGGGGGCAATTTACCTGGAGTCTCCATGACCCCTAAATGGGATCAGTACCCAAATGGGTCATGGTGCCATTTTTTAAGGGTCATGGAGATTCCAGGTAGGTCCAGTGGTAGAAGCCAAAACCAGGGGAAGTCGCAGCGGAAGATTGCCTGCGCACGCCCTACCAAGCCCTAAAAAGCCATCAACGAACCTGGCCCCTCCAGCTGGCTTCGGTGTCCTTTTCAGTGTTCCCCTACTAGGCTGCTAGTTGGTTGTTGTTTGGCCTTTTAGCTTGTTGGGAAATGTGCTTGTGCTCAGGGAACAAAATAAACTGTCTTGCACAGGAGTTCTGCTTGGATGGGGAGACATTAGACTTTGAGAACCGTCAGACCAGAAAAGTGAACATCTCTTGATTTGGGTCGACTTCTGTGCCGTCAAGGCTGAAAGCACCCGGAACAATCACCAATCAAGCAGGTTGCTTGAGAGCTTTCATTCCTTGATATGTTCTGAAGCTTTGATATGTAACATGTTGAAGACCCTGTCAGAGCCTTGAGACCTACGCAGCCAATGACGTTTTGATCCTCCAAAAGGAAAGCCAAACTGGATGAAGAGATTTATTCGTCGTCAGACCGGCCCCTAGGAGTCGAGGTCTCCACAATTCCCCTAAAGCAGCTGTTTTGCCCTGAAGAAAAACGACTTAAACCATGAAGGCTCTAGACAAGATACTGTAACTTTCGCTCCTTTTTCAGAACTTTCGCTCCTTTTCCAGACCAAAAACAACTAGTAAGCAAATGAACCGCTGGCCAGAGCGTTGTTGTTTAAACTTAATTCAGGTTTCATCCGCGGGTATACACTCTTCCCTTTCAGCTGCCACAAGCTGGGCTCGGAGAAGTGGTGTCCACAAAATGACTCTCTCTCTCTCTCTCTCTCGCAACGGTAGTTTAATGGAAAACGACCTGCTACAGCTGGGTCGAAGTAGATGGCGAACTTGCACGATGCTGGTTTCCTAATCCCCAAATCGTGTAGTTGTGCCATACCTGGTGTCAAACAGGGGTTTCGTCAGCTATTTCCCGTGAACCTGACAGTGGCGATTGGTTCAATGCAAAAACAGCAGTAACTTGATCAACGTTTGAAAAAGACAAAGCAGTCACCCCTACAACATGTCACCAATCTGCAAATGTTAAGCATCCCCCAAGTAAAGAACCTTTATTATGGCTCGTTGTATTTCCTGAGCTCGCCATACGGACCAACTTGGCAGTTTCAATGGAACCCACCAGTAAAGTGATCGACTTTTGAAAAATACGGATGAAATGCCATCAATCTGCAAATGTTACTCTAATTCCACAAGCTGAATTAAGGGATCCCCAGGTAAAGAACCCTTATCATGGCAACCCACCAGAAAATTGAGCAACTTTTGAAGAAGGAACACCACTGACCCCTGTAAAATTCCACATTCAAAAGACCAACTGTGGATGGACGAATTTCTGCACCTAAGAAACCATGCAACGATGATTACCGTGTAAGTATCAACAAACATCGGCTTCTCAGGGTTTCAACCTGGTAGAGGTGAGCTACACGTGAGATCCGGAGGCTTGGGCGCCCAGTTTGCCCTCCAGGCTTTCCGACTTTCCGCATCGGGGATGGGAGGTTGCGCGGAGCGCGGAGCCCGGTGAACCAGGGTCTGTGCCCTTTTCCCCTTTTTCCGCAGCAAAAAGGGAACCCTTATTCTAACCTCTCTGGAGGACCGAGCTAACCACGGTTGGTTTGCAGTCGTTTTCCCAAGCACTCAAAACGTTGTCTCAAAGCAGGTGTCAGACAGGAGCCTGTGATACTACACCCATGGAACGGAGGGTTGGCATGTTTTTGTTGCGAGCTGCCCTGCGGCCTGTGGTTGCTCAGCATTTTTCAGCTTTCACAAAGGAACAAGGGGCTGGGGGTGGAGACCATCTCATGGACGTCTCACTTCAGATTCTTCTTGCCGTTCACTACAAAGGAACAAGGGGCTGGGGGTGGAGACCATCTCATGGACCCCTGTCTCACTTCAGATTCTTCTTGCCGTTCACTACAAAGGAACAAGGGGCTGGGGGTGGAGACCATCTCATGGACGTCTCACTTCAGATTCTTCTTGCCGTTCACTACAAAGGAACAAGGGGCTGGGGGTGGAGACCATCTCATGGACCCCTGTCTCACTTCAGATTCTTCTTGCCGTTCACTACAAAGGAACAAGGGGCTGGGGGTGGAGACCATCTCATGGACGTCTCACTTCAGATTCTTCTTGCCGTTCACTACAAAGGAACAAGGGGCTGGGGGTGGAGACCATCTCATGGACGTCTCACTTCAGATTCTTCTTGCCGTTCACTACAAAGGAACAAGGGGCTGGGGGTGGAGACCATCTCATGGACCCCTGTCTCACTTCAGATTCTTCTTGCCGGTGCTCAGACTGCGAAATGGCAGGACCCCAAAAACCATCCCCTCTTGTTTTTTTTCCACTGGGGGAGCCAAAGCGGGGTTCATTTCCCCAGTCCCTCTTAGATGATCGCAGCTGCAAGTTCGGGTTCTTCGGGTTGAGCTTGACTGCTATTGGGTTGGATCTTGAGACTTTAAAACTTTTTGGGGAAAGAATGGTGTTTTCAACTAAACCCCCAAAAAGTTGTCAACCTTGTGCCAGGGGGTCAACAGCAACCAAGTGAATAGAGCATTCCTTCTGCGGTTTCCTTTGGCCTTCGGCGACTCGCGACTCGATTCGCCAGGCTCGCGGCTCCCGCGGCGCCCGCCGCGCCGCTTGCGGCAAGTTCTGGGACGTCGGCGTCGCGGCTCACTTGGTGGCAGGCCAGGCACTCACCGAGTCACTTCGAACTCGAGTTCCATTTGCTGAAAGTTTTGTTTTTTTTGTTTTAAATATCTTCCCCTGTTGATTTTAAGGGAACCTATCACTACTGGATTGTTTTTCCCCCTGTTGGATTTAAGAGTTTTTTCCCTGTTGGTTTAATCTTTTGTTTCCCCCCTGTTGGTCTTAAAAGGGAATCGATTCCACTATACTGGACATCTTGTCTCATTTTTTCCAGGGGCGAAAAGCTTAAATGGAAATAACGAGTTCCTGGACTTGAGTCACTTGTTGGGCAGGGTGATATCTCCACTTGTTTGGGGTTGGAAGGACGTAGGCGGCCTTAATGCAGACTACACAGGCCTTCATGTGTTTGGGGTTTGAACAGAAAGTTCAAGCTTTGATTGGACCATCCACTCGGGAAGTGAGCCTTGGGGGGTACAACAAGCTGATCCATGGCATGGGCCGTTTACTTGGAGATCCGATATTTCTGCTTGTGGTGTCATTGTCAAAGACTTGACTGCTGTTGGGTTGGATCTTTAGACTTTAAAACTTTTTGGGAACAAAGGTGTTTTCCACTAAAACCCCCAAAAAGTTGTCAACTTGTTGCAGAGGGGTCAACAGCAACCAAGAAGATCCAGATGCATCACAGGGAGACGCGGCCCTTGTGTTTTCCAGAAGTCGTTGGCTTCTCCCTGCCGGACCTGGCCGCAAAAACCCGGGGAATTGAAGCCCCCCGAGCCGTCACTGCTCGTTTGTTGGTTCCGTCAACGTTTTTTTTTCAATTTTATTTTGGGAGACTCCAACTTGGGTTCCCATATTAAAACACACAACCAGATTGCGCTTGGAGGGAACTGGTGGTTTATGTGGGGAATAGCCCCCGAACCACCTTATTTCGGGTTGGTGAAATATTATAATTCTAGAGGGAAGGGGCTCCGAGTGGGACGACTCGCGGTCTGAAGGCGGCCGGCGCACTTTGCACGGCTTTCGCAGCGCGGCTCGGCTCGGAAGTCGAATCGGATCTCCGTAGTGAGGAGCTCTTGACCCAGGTTCTCAGGGAACCCAAAACCAGGTTTCCCCAAAAGGAGATACCTCCATTCGCTTAAGACTTTTTTTTTTTTTTTTTTTTTTTTTTTCCGTTGGTGTTAAAAGGCATTCATCACTACTGGACATATTGTCTCATTTTTCCCTTTATCCAAATGGAAGGGGGCTGAAGACGATGGTGTGGGACGTTCCGTATTTTTGTTGTTTCCAGAGAACGCGTTTGAGCTTTGCTATGAGATGAGAACTGCTTCCCCGACACATGATCCGGCTGTCCAGCTGGCTGTGGGTGGCGCTTCATTTGATTTGAAAACGGCTTCAAACCACCATAAAAAAGAAGAAGATCAGTTCCCTAAGGATTGTCATCATCCAAGTTGGGTCAACCTTTCTTTCTATGGGCTTGAACCTTGGGGTATACATTGTTCAAAAACGACTCTGGGAACAGTCGTAGTTTGGGTGAATTGATTCTGGTGAGCACCCTCTAGAATATCAGTTTCTTGGCCATTTCGACCCAATGAGGTCCATCGCCTTCTCATTCCGCCACAGTTTGCCGGCTTTCAGTGATTCAGGTTTCGATTTGGCTGGATCTCAAAATTGGAGCCGATTCCTCCGGTTGTTTTTTGTTTGTTCTTTTCAAAACCATTCCAAACAAGAAGGTGGCCTCTTGTTCTCCGCGGTCTTTTGGGTTTCTATTCGTAGACGACCCGAAGCATTCCGTTCCCTTCGAAGAAACGCCTCCCTTGAGGCTGGGCCAGCGCCGGCCCAAGCCGCGCGCGAGCGCGAAGGTGCCGCTGAGAGTCTACGGGTGCGAGGCCCCAGGCGTTCCGTTCGTAGAAAGGGCGTGTAGTTTGAGCCGAGAGGCTCCGTTGTTCCAAGCCCCGAGGGTCCAAGTACCCTCTGAGGATGAAAATTTTCAGGTGCATCCCTAGGTACTTGGAGCCTCTAGGAAGAGAATCGACCTTGCAACCTTTTGGTGTTCCATGTTTGGTCCACTTTTTGTTTGGGTCCCAAAAGGTGAACCTTTGGCAACTGAGTGGGGTTGGCAAGATTGGATTGTCACCTTTGCGGCAAAGGCCTTGCGGCGTGCACGGGTTTGATGAGCCCAGGTTGGTTGAACGTCCATATATTGGCCAACGAAACTTTTGCGATCTTACTTTACCAGGCATCCTCAACTTGTTGCTATCTTGTCGCTTTTGGCAGTTTCAAGGAAAACCCCAAAAGGAAATTTGAGACCCGCTTTTTTTTGTACTCTACGGGACTCAGTTGTAGCCTAAGCTCAGTCGTTCAGAATTCAAGGCTCCCGTGGGTTTCGGACTTCCGCGCTTGCCCAGCGACGTTTCGAGAGCCTCTGGTGGGGAGGTGTGTTTCTTGGCGAGCGAATCCTCCGGTTCCAGAAAGGACTTTAGTTGGTTTTTGGTTGGTGTCCATCTGAAAGCTCCAGGAAGTTCAACTTTTAGGGGATCTGAGGGACAGCGAAGGTTTCCAAGGTTCCGACCTTTCAAAGCGTGGGGAAAGAGCGGATCGGGATGTGGTGATATTTGGAGGCTGGTTTCGACTTGGTTGAGCGGCAAGAAAGCAGCTCGAGAAGACAGATCAAGAGCTTAATCCTATGATTCACACCTTTGGAATTGTTTCACCGGAGCGTGTCCTGAATCCTGTGATGCTTTTTACGCTTTTCTCGGACGGCTAGTTATTCACGATGCATGAGGCTCAGCCACACCTAACTATTTCCTGCGTTGCATGATAGCCGGATTGAGGTCGTGGCTTATCACGAAAGCTAGCTTTAGCTAGCTGAAGTTTCTCCTTGCGTAAGCAAGGTAAGGGGCTCAACTGCCGAAAGATTGATTTTTTCAATTATTTGAGCCGAAAAGATTGAAAACAATCAATTATTTAGACCCCCCCCCCCCCCCCCGTCTCAGGCTCGATTCCTCCTTGGTCCACCCCTCCCCCCGGGCAGTGGCTCAGTGTTTCAGCAGTCTCGGTTTGCCCGTTTTGGACTTGGTGCTACGAACTTTTACATGTTCCACCGATTCAGCTTGTTCATTTGAGACCTCAGTCTTCTCAGTAAACCACCTCGCAAGAATCTTTGCACACGCAGCATGCAGAACCCAGAGGTGCTTTAAGACAGCTTCTGACGCCTCTCGTTGTTTTCATTTTTCAAGGTTTGCCACGCCACCATGTGCGTTTGCGTGTCGCATCCTACGAATCTTGCCGGGCCTCTCGTTGTACACAAGCTACCTATGAATCCACTCTGTCACCGACCCATCTCATGCAACAACTGCTAGCTTTCGTTCACCCGCTCCTCAAGTTGGAGGGCATACGTCCAGACTTGAATGATTCAGGTGTGGCTTTTTCATGGTTGTTGTCAGGAAACATTTTACATTTTTGCTTATTTTGGTTTAGTGGTTGAAATCCCCACTTAACTGCTAAGATTTTTATTTTTTTAAAACTCCCCTTCCACCGTCAACCAAGTTTTGGAGGGGCGGATCCCCTTCGTTCGAAACAATCCGTGCGGAGGTACGAAGAGGAGGACGGCCCGGACCATTTCTTCAGGCTGCCGAACGGCTGGAAGCCCAAGGCGGGATCATTCGGAGTTCGGAGGGAGGCTCGGCTGTCGATCCCATGGCTCTGAGGCGGCAAGATATGGTGTTGTTGGTGTGTGTGTTTTTTTTTGGGGGGGGGGGGGGATTTTTTTGTTTTTGTTGTTTTTGTTAGGGGGACCCCTGTTTTGCGTTGGCTTGATACTGTGGATGGTTGCAAAATCCATTTTTCTCACCACGGAATGAAACCCTGCGAAGGAACCCACATCGTTTGGTGGTATTTACAGGGGAATTGTAACATCCCAGGGATTCCCGGGTGGTGCGAAATGGATTTAAGCCATCCACAGTCTGGTCTTCGTTTGTTTTTTTGTTAGTTGGGGGAACACTTTGTTGGTTGGTTTTACAGGAAAGCCAAAAAGAATCCAGCCAGGTTGGGGGAGCTCTACGTATTGGAAGACGCAGCCATGTAACTTTCGATCAGAAGAGACGTTGTGAACAATTGATATTTTAGTCGTTGCTGTGTTCCACCGCAAGTCCAAACTGGTGTTTCCTCCAGAATTAAATTTTCAAGCAGACTAACTATAAAACAGAAGCCGGACAGGCAATTTTGGTGCACCCGGATGCACCCGGGAGTTGGGCCACGCAAGACAAGGAGAAACGGGAGCGGAAGCGAGTAAGCCATTCTTATTTGGGGGTTGTGTCGAAATAGGCAAGATGAGAGCTGGGTGAATTATAACGACCTCACACGACCGAATTCACCCCAAATGGTGGTTTATGTAGAGAATTGCCCCCCAAACACCTTATTTCGGGTTGGTGAAATATTATAATTCACCCAGAGAGGTGTTCCATACAGATTCCACCTTGAGGCATTGGGAGTTTCTTGTTTGCGATGTTTTGAGGGACTGAAGGAAATCAAAGGCCCGGCTTCAACTCAGAAGGAACAAAAGGATGGCGGCCTTTATCATCCTTGGTGTTTTGCATGTCTACGGTACTTCCATTTTCTGAAAACGTTTCTCACCCCGCCAGTGAACACTACACATTCCTGTGTGGCTTCCCTTTAGTTTAGCGAGGGTTTGTTTTGGTTTGTTGTTTCCCCCTGTTGGTTTCAAGGGAATCTATCACCACAGTAGTGATAGATTCCCAAACCAGTAACTGGGAGAATATTTCAATGTCCCGGGGGCGAAAAAGGAAATGGAAGGGTGGGGTTGAGCTAATGGAAGGCGGGGCTCATTTTGGGGAATTGGATGCCAAGCCCCCAGCCTCCCGCTTCACTCTGTGTCTTGTCTTGTTTGGGACTCCCGAAAGTACTGGGAAGCAGTTCGGCGTCATGAAGATGTGTTGTCAGCTTCCCTTTTCGTGCAGAGGGATCATTGTGATGCTCAGTCCCATCTTTGGGGTAAGTGATGCAGGCCTTTCGTGAGACGATGTTGGAAAATCCCAGGCCGAGAGCTGAAAGGTTCCTTTTCAAGGTGGCGAACTGGGTCCTGCCGCTGGAAAATGACCGGTGGACATATTGTCCGTCTCAAATGCAACCCTTGTATAGTCAGGTGTTGCTCAGAATACCTTAAGAAGTGCCTGTTGGTTGGCTATCCTGGCATGCTCATGCGGCGCAAAAGATTTGCCCCCGCTTTCGCGTCAGGTGCGGCCGGCATGGAATCGGCACACCTCGCCCAGCAAGGCTGGGACACCGGCCAGTGACTGCCCCTGTTCAACAGGGTGATTGGGGTCTCCTCAAAACGAGTTGCTGTTTTCAGGTAGACGAAGCATTGGGTGATTTATAACGACCTCACGCGACCTCACCCCAAATGGTGGTTTATGTGGGGAGTAGCCCCCCAAACACCTTATTTCGGGTTGGTGAAATATTATAATTCACCAAGTCAGACACGAAACAACATCTAAAGATCCCCAGACGTAGGCCAAGGCTGCTCGGAGACTGCAAAAAAGATGCTCAAACAAATTCGGTTGGGTCCCTTTTGGTTTCCTTTGCCAGGGGCCCAATTCCTGCCCCTGTGCCAAGGCCGTTTGTTGGCAAAAGTTGCGACTCGCTGATTTCCGCCCAAGTTGGTCCATGTCCTTGCTGACAACCGCATGCATGTGGCGCGCATGGACTGTGGAGATGTGGATTTGTATGACAGTCATATGACGGGATTGTATGTTGTGGGATGTTGTGGGTAGGCTCGGATAGACTAAATAAACATGACTAAACATACTAAATATGGAACATATAAGCTGAACATATGCCATGTGTGTCCCAGAGAAAGGCCACGTGTTCCTTTCAACCAACAACGTTTGGTGCACAGATTCTCCAAGAGGAAGCTTGTCCTGGGGCCACCCTGCGCCATGTTTGGCGGGTAACCTTTTACTTTTGACCTTTCGAACATGGGTTTTGCCCCATTGGCAAAAGCAAGCCACCTCTGGCTTTTGGGTCAAAGACTTTAGTTAGCCTGGTTGCCATCTTGCGAAGTTCGGGCGGGCGGGCCAAGCAAGCGGACGAGCAAGGTGAGCATGGGCAATTCCGTGACGTTTTTCTTCCCCAACAAGGCTAAGGCGAGGTCGCTCCGAAGTCGACCGACGTCGAATCGGTCGACACACGTCGGCCATTTCATCAAAGCCTGGCGGCCACACAACGGTCCAGTTGATTCAGCGACACCCTTTGTTCCCTACTTGTGACATTGTGTGTGCGTGTGTGTGATAGCTTCCTAACTACACGATCCTTAACCTCAAAACATGTACCCCATGCTAACTTCCCTATTTCTACGGCCAGCCCCGGGTTGCCTGCGCCCCGAAGCACGCCCCGACGCCCAAACCTAGACTTCTTGGAGACCTAATCCGCCTGAAGCACTTTCCATCTTTGCCACCACGTGCTTGAATTAGTCATAACCAAGCGCTAGGGCAGAGACGGCGGCTGCTGAATGTGCCGTTGGGACAAAGCTAGCCGATACTTATTGACACGCAACCTAGAAAAAAAATCAGAACCTTAAACCCCAAACCTGCACCCTAAACCTAATCCTACACCCTTTCGGGGGTGCTGGCAACTCTCGGGGGCTGTGGGTATTTCTACCAGGGTCATTGAACAACTGGGAAGGGGCAAATGCCCCATGTCAAGTTCCCCTTGTTTTGAGGGAAAGCCTGTCAGACAGTCAAAGCCAGCCACAATCAATGCCGACCATTTTGAATTGAAGGAGACTGTCCCCTTGCCATAAGGTGAGAACATTCTGCCGGCGTATGCGTTTTCTTGAAGCTGGGTAGGCTCCTTCACCAGTCTCACAATGGCTCGGTTCCCCTTAAACATCGACCCTTCAAAGTCGTCGGAAGCGTCGAATGACGAACCCCGTGACTCTTGAAACAAATTGCGTCTCCGAGCCCAGGTTGCGCCCGCTTCCCTGAAACGTTATCCCTGTCTTTCCGTGTCCTTTGGCTGCAAAGTTCATTGGGGCGCGGGGCTGCGGAAAGAATCCAAACGGAATTCCCCATTGAAAGTGAACCAGCCATGGGGGATAGCCCGCTCAGCGCAGAGGTGTTGGGCCCGCTTGCTGACTCTAGGCTTGTCCTTTTTGAGGCTACCCCCTGGCAACGGCTCAAAGCGACCCAGAAGGAAGCCAATCTCCACGGCGCACAGCGCCAGGCACATCAGGACACTGAGTACCAGGGCTATTGCAACCCCAAGATGTACAAGAGGACAGGAGAACCGAGTGGCGCAGCGGGGACGGAGCATGCGGGTTTGAAATGTGTGTGTGTGTGTTTCCGTTTGGTTGTCGGTTGAGTTCTCGAAGGGTCACTAATCTAGAGAAGCACCCAGATCAAGATGTGTACTTGGGGCACACACATTGAGAGCGTAGTTATTTCCCTTGCAGGCCCGAAGGGAAACCGGGGTATATACCCCTCGCAAAAAAAGCGTCTCTAGATAGTCGGTACCCAAAAGTGAAAGCATTGCTAGATAAATGCGGGTCATACATATCACCCATGTAAGCCCTTCTTCAAAAGCAAGTTCCTGCTATTTTTCGACTCAGTTGACCAAAGCCGTACCTTTTAACTTTTTGGGTCTCCTTGTTTGATCCATTAGTCAATGAGTCAAGGAGGCGAATAGTTCGGTTTCTGAACCTTTGGACATATTCTGTACCTGGAGTCTGCATGACCCTTAGAAAATGGTTGGTCATGACCCCTTTATTTGGGTAACGAGCCCATTTTTTAAGGGTCAGACAGAAGGAGACTCCAGGTAGATAGATACACTGTGTTGATGAGACTCATGCACCCCTTGCCAGTTCCGAGCCATGCCCTGCGACTTGAGTTAGGTGACTCTATACAAGTATAACTTCCAGCAAGAGATCAGCGAACGACTAAGACTCCACTGCAAATCTCGTAGATCACTTGAGTCCAAGATACTTCATGTCTTTTTGGGTTTGGATTAGCATTTTCGTGGGGAACATATGCCTCAAGCTTGAGCGACTGGTTTCATCCACTCGCTGGCGCGTGAGGCCGACCGCTCACCTGGAGTCTCCTTCTGACCCTTGAACAAAATGGGATCATTCCCCAAAACCAAAGATTCGGGTCATGACCACGCATTTTTGATACAGATCAAAAGGAGACTCCAGGCAGATCCATCCGGCTCGATCCATCCGGCTTGATCCATCCGACGGATGCGATCCATGCGGCCAGGGTCATGCCGGACCGGAAGTTGGCGAACCGGGCGCGGCGCACGCAGAAGCGCGCCTGGCGCAAGCTGCCCGGGGCCCCAGGCGCTGCCCCGAACCCTGCCCTGGGCGCGGTAGGTGCGAGGTGCGGTGGAAGCACCTGGGCTGCGGCAACCCCTTCGGGTGGAAGCAGGTAGGTTTTGGTTCATACCCTTGGCTGGTGTCCAACCCACAAGTCTAGGGGTTGATTCCTTTTCCACATTCCATTCTTTCCAAGCATCAGTCTTTTCAATAACCAGCTGCTTCCCCAGATTTTTGTTGGTGGTTTTCTGGAAATAAATTCGGATCCCTGGAAGTGGGAAAGCTACCGGGAATACGCAAAACATATACCCCCGCCCGAAAGGGGAGAGGGGTATGAATAGATTGAACATCAGCAGGCCTTTTGGTTCATTTGCCCAAGAGGTATGCGCCTTTGGGGGATGTTCCTTTGCTTCCCCAGAAATGAGTAAAGCCCAAATTAATTTTGATCGGGGGCTGTTCTCTTGTGGGAGTTCATTACTTTTGGATGGAACACCCCCTGTCAATAGGACGGGTGCATTTATCCAGGGTCATTCTTAAGCCATCTTGGAAAGACAGTAGACTCGAACACTACGGCTGCCCTACGAATTGCAAGTACACCTACCGCCGCAAAGCCGTGGTGAATCACGCAAAATTAGAGAATCGGGTTCCTTGTTGCCTTACTTGGAATAGCAGATTGTGGGCATCCATCATAGCCTAGCTCGTGAGATGAATCATGGAACTCACCCAAGGGCAGTTCTCGGAGGTATCGGCCTTTGTGGCTTGCGCAGCCTTTGCATTTGTTTCGAGCAGTATGTTGCCGGCCAGCGCATTTTCAATGGAACATGAATGTTGCTCAGCCTGCCTAGGTCCCCCAGCAGTGCCCTGTTACCCTTTTCTGGGGGAGGGTTCCCCTACTAAAATAGACTACAGAAAAGGGTGCCCTTATTCTAACCTCTCTACTGGAGGACCTAGCCAACGTTTATCTCTTGCGTTTTAGTTTTCAGACCTTGGGCTTATATAGGTGAACCGCATCCTCAAAGCCCGGCCGGATGAAGGGTAACCACAGTCGGTACGGATATCCGCCCCTTTTTTTTTTGATCACGGGTTTTGTTTAGCCACCTTTGTGATTGTGCCAGGTGTTTAGTTGTTTAAGAGTTTTAAAGGGGTGTCCCATTTTGCAGCAAGCAACCGAAACATATTTTCCGCCAAGTTCTACTCAACTCCGAATTCCTCGAAATTCGAAAGGTTGCAGCCTTTGTGGGGGCAACGAGGCTCGTGAAAAAGGGAAGGGCCACCAAGAAGTTTGCTGAGGACCCCACAGAATGGGTCGGCCCAGGGCCTCGCGAAACTCGACTCGGCCCGCTGAAAGATGGGGGAATGTTGACCCAGGATTAAATCCGTCCCATTATTAGGGGGTGTTCCCTCCAACAGTGATGAATCCCCATTAAAAGGGGACACCCCCCTATTAATCAACCAGCATTTCATTAATGCGGGGTAAACATTAAATAACAATGACCAAAGCTCAGCTTCTACGTCCCGTGGTTTGGACGTGTCGGCATCTCCCCGTTTTGGGTGCTCGTGAATTGTCTGGTTGCTGGTGTTGCTTGAAGCACATCAATATGGGCGTGTCTCCACATTAAAACCCCTCGTCGGGTTACTGTGTACCCGTGGAGAGAGGCCAAAAGAGAAAGCAACCCCCTTTCAATCCCTTTCATGTCCATTTCCTGTTCAACTGTTGCCCTTAGTGTTCCTTCAACGTGCTTTCCCGCCTTCCACCCCTCCAACCCCAACCCCAGGGTGCCCCTGATCCCAGAACGGACCGCTGAGGTCCAATAAGCTGAAGAACGAGTGGCGCTTCCGGCGCTACCCCAGGGATGAGTCCGGCAAGGCAGGAGATGCCGAACTGTTGGCACCCCAAGGGCCTCAAATATATGGCTGTGGCTCAAAAATAGGCACCCCCATACCCCCAAATGAAATGGAACCCTGGTCAACGGAAACAACAACCAACACCTGCGGTTTTCTGGTGGTTTAATTTTGATACCCAAAGTGACCTTCAACTCCAGCCAAAAAAAGGACACCCTTTTTTTCCCCATGGAGATCCACTGGGCGTCTGAGACGAGGTCCATGGGGGCGCCCTGAGGTGTCGCACGGCGTCTTCAACTCCCGGAGCCGGCCCACCTACCTGGACCTCAAGCCGGGGACACGGAAATGGACTGACTACGGGAGGAGCAGAAATGTGGGGAGGCTTGTTTCTTAGACGTGCATACGTTTAAGTATATATATATACATATATATACACATACGCATAATATATGATATATATATATATATATTGTGTATATCTATATCTATACATATATATATATATATATATTAATATTCCTATATAATATTGAATATAGTATGTCTGGTCATCTTGTGAAAATGCACCTGTATTGCGTGAGTAATATGTATACATATATATATATATACATATACACAGACGCATGTAATGTTTGTTTTGTGTTGCCTTTTTGTTGGAAGCTGCAAAGGTCAACAGGTGTGTAGGGAAAGCAATTTAGAGAACAGGCCATGGTCAGCGCCAGAGCTCTTGAGCCTCGAACAACGGTGAGTCCATGAAGCAAGTAGAGGCATGTTGGTAGTTTTGTGCTCATAGCCATGTAATGTACATTTCCACTATACATGTCCACCCGCTTGAGACATCTATGGAAGGGCTCGTCTTCCGAATCAAGAACACTTCCCGATTCCCCACACACTGTCGCTTGGTGCAAGGAAAGTGATGCGTGGATGGCTTTTGCCTTCCTTCATTGGGACTTATCCCTACTTGGACGTTCCGCACACTTAGCAGGCAGGTAGGTTAGAACCATGGTTATAACCAGGGCAGCTGGGGTTGGTGCCCTTACCATGATCATTAATAACCTACTTACTGAGTAGCTTGAGCACCCTAGTAATGCTCCTCACGTAGCCCTACAAGTATCCCCTATCCCTACCCATAGAGTTGGGGAAAGGGCACTTTCGCTCCTGGAATGCCAGTCAGCGGTTCTTGTCTTTTGGGGTTGGAAGACTTGACAAATGGTTGGTCGGGCACCCAACAACTGCACCTCCCTTGATGTGTCCGTGCCATGGAGGGCTAGAGTCTGTGCTGTGGACTCAAACCGAAAACACTCCAAAGAAGGCAGTAGTTGCACCATGTGTCTGTGTCAAAATAAGATTTTGCGGTTTTCTTGTGCTGCCCTTTTGGGCCATTTTGAAAAGAGTCCCCTTAAAGAATCACAATCCCACAAAGACAAAGGTCAGCCATATGGGGTGTTTCCCCCCAAAATTGTTCAGAGCAATTTGTGGCGTTTCTACAGAGGGTACATGGAAACCACGCTTGATCCGATGCCCTCAAAATCGGGAAAATTTGGTTCCCCTTGGCCACAAGGACAAGCTCCAAGCGAGTCCCTGGGTCCCTAGTCAAGTGTATCAGGGGCGCCTCGCGCGCCAACAAGCAGTGAGACGCTGGGACGGTGGGACGCGCTCGTGCGCTCTGGTCGGCAAGAGGGCAAGAGGTGGACCAGCGAGAACCAGTTAATGCCAACCCCTTAGCCGAAACAACTTGTCAGAACTCCCCCCCACCAAACATGAGCATTGCAAGAAGAAGATCAATAATGAGGGATGCAATTCCAAGCAGTTTTTGCACGATGCGGTAAATCGACTTGAGACTGAAGTGGCCAGCATTTCATCATACGCAACCAGACTCACTGGGGCATCTTCCACAACAAGCGGGAAGCAATACATCGGTATCGTCTCACCGCCTTTGGCTGGGCGAAAAGCGCGTCCGAAAGGCCCTTTACGGGTTGCAGGAGTGGGGACCACATACACCAATGGCGCAACCCAGGAATAGCAAAAATGACAAGTGATAGACCTAGATATTTAGTCGACCTTGAATTGGGGCCAGGCCTTTTCAAATTTCCTATTTGTGTGGAAATGTTTGTTGAGGGGAATCTTGCAACCCCTGTGTATATATTTGAAATTCAACAAGGCAACGCACTTTTTAGGGTGTCCCCTATTTTTACATATTAAAACGATGTTCATGAGCTATACCCATTGGTTTGCAGTAGTTTTGCAGTTGCCCGGTTTGCTGTTTTTTGGTTTTATTGTAAAATTGGCTTTGACCCAGAAAGGTAGAATTGCAAGTCTGCTTTTGTTTTTAATCGGGGACCGCAATGCAGGCAAAGGAACCTCCGATCAGCCTTGACTGCCAGTACCAATTGAGTTTCTTGGGTGATAATTGAAGTCGAATATGGGTTTGTCAAAATTGGGGACCTCCGGAAAAAAGGGCACCCGCCAAACAAGACACGCCACTTCCATTTGCTCAGGAATATTTAATTTAATGTGCTTATTTTCTTTGTTAGTTTTGAAGGGTTTGTTCTTTCCAGGTGTTCTAAGCAATTGGAAGACCAGAGGTTTGATCCTGATTTGGGAAGGACCACAATAGGGAACTCACTCGATTTCAGCTGCAAAACACCTGGAGGAATGAGCGTGCTGTTTGCCGTGTCTTCGGGAAGCTCGGTAATTTCGTTGACTATGTGTCAAGATATGACCCCACCTGGTGGGTCCGTTGTTCTCCAGAGCAATCCCCAAAAAAGGTACCCTCACAGCACACACACACACAAAATAAAAAAAAAATAAAAATTAAAAAAAAAAAAAAAACGCTGACACTCTGGCATTATACCCCCCCCCCGCCCCCTTCATACAGAAAAGTAAATACAAGAACAATCAAACCAAACAACCAAAGCAACAAAACAACCAACCAGCCAACCAACAAACAAACACACAAACAAACAAACAAACAAACAATCAATCAAACAAACAAACAAACAAACAAACAAACAAACAAACAATGAATCAATCAGACACACAAACAAACAAACAAACAAACAAACAAACAAACAAACAAAAACAATTCACAAACAAACAAACATACAAACAAACAAACAAACATACAAACATACAAACAAACAACAAGGAAACAAACAAACAAACAAACAAACAACAAACAACCAACCAACCAACCAAACAAACAAACAAAAACAACAAACAAACACAAATCACAAACAAACACAAAACACAAACAAGCACAAAACACAAACAAACACAAAACACAAACAAACAGCAAACCACAAATAGACAGGAAAACAAGAACAAACACTACAAGGCCTGTACCTCATGCCGGCTGAGTCCAATAGATCTGAGCTTCCTGAACATGGGACCGTGGCTGCGGATTCTGGATGGAACGAGCTCACCCAAGATGAAGGTTCCTTATTTGGCTGTGGATCAAAAACATGTACCGCAATCGCATCCTGGCAAATGGAACCAAAGACTAAATCCTGCGTAACCCTAGCTATGTAATTTTGATCCACACCCATATTTAAACGTGGGAAGTATCGCAATTGTCAAGTTCCCCCATTCTTTCCAAGCCACGACGCATGCAGGGGAATCAACTGGTTTTTGAAGAACAACTGCGGTGGAAAAGAATGGGGAATTAACCCCCATAAATTTGTCCGGTGATTTCCCTTGCGGTTTTGGAATGTTTTGGGAATCACCTCAAGCGACCTGTTTAAGGCTTATACTTGTTTGCAAATGTAGAAACTCTGCGTGTCCAAGATCTATGCGCGCACTCGGATTCGAACCGCTCACTTTGCCGGCTGGAAAAGGAAGAGGTTGCCGATTCAGCGGCAAGGACCTGTCGGGGTTTCACCCGCGACAGAAACCAAACCGTGTTTTTTGATCGTTTCTGCCGAGGTCATGGTCACTTTGCTTTCGGAGACCACCAAATCGCAGCAGTTGGAGCACTCTGACTGTCAGCAGGTTCCAAAGGAAGGCTCACAGCCAGACTTTGAGCCATGTGGACCTCGCTCTTCGGCGGCGATCAGGCTGGGCTGGGTAGCCTCAAGGTGGTCTGCGGGATCTCATGAGTCCTGGGTGCCCCAGCGATTGGTGCCCTTTTATATATTTTTTTTGGGGGAGGGTTCCCCTACTAAAATAGACTACAGAAAAGAATGGTACCAACTTATTCTAACCTCTCTACTGGAGGACCTAGAGTCCTTTCTGACGGCAACCTGGTGTTGTGCTGAAGGAGAGTTCGGAGACCCGCAGGGTGTGAAGGGAAGCCAGAAGAAAGCCGATCTTCTCAAAGCGAGTGGAGCTGACCTGTAGGTTTGGCAACCAGGCAAGGCGAGGGTGGCTCCGAGCCTCAGTTTTTGACCAAGCCACGAGATCGTGTCCCTGCTTTGGTGCATTTCGCCAAGGGATTTCAGGACTTTAGCTTTTTGCCAACTGATGGGTTTTCCATTAAACCACTAGAAGTTAAACTTTTAGCAGGGGAGCAGAAAGCAACCGAGCCTGGTCCAAGAACAAGCCTTCTAGCCTGGTTTGCGAGGGTCTGTGGGCAAGTGAATTATGGTTGGTCTGCAAAGAGACGCCAACAAGAAGCCATTGACGTTCGCGGTCCCCTGTTTGAGGAACCATCAGTTTATGTAGCAAGTGTCGCATATTCAGGAGGGAAAGAAATGAAAGCTGTAGACTCCGGCTGAAGTTCAACATTCGTCAGGGTGCCAAGTTTGAGACTAGCCAAGGATTTGGACAGTGTTCCCCATCCACGGTCATCAGTGACGCTCTTGCGGAAACCATGCAGGTGGTAGTTATCTCGTTATCAAAGCGTCGAAGCGTCCAACCGCCAGAGCCTAGCCATGCTGTTCAAGAGAGTCCAAAAACACGGTTGGCTCAAAATAGGCTGGACTCCCAAAATGGCGGGTTTTCTTGTGGTTTCCCTTTTGTGCCACCCCAAACGGGTGCCTTAATGAAAGACGTTTCGTCCCCTCGGTTTGAGAAACGGATTGGCCGAGCGAATGTTGCCCTGATTGGTTCCCGTCAGCTTACCCCTTGGATTTGGACGGGTTCAAACCCCCCAACCAATCCGAAGCGAAGCCAGGGTTGTGGGATCACTCGGGGTTTCTCCAACCACTTCTGTGATACTTTTGGGAATCCCCCTTTATATGAAAATAGTCTCTGGGGTTAGGCCCTTTCTGTTGTATCACAGAAGTGGATTCCATTCCCCACAGCCCTGCGAAGCACGGATGAAGGGGTAGCCTTGGGCTTATCCAGCAGAGGCGATTCTGTGCTGCTCTTGCGTTCGATCGAACAGCGGCCGTGCAAACGAAATGATGCCAATCAGTGTCGCAGGCGCATTGCTATGCATGTGTTGGGTTGCCTCCTGTTGTGATTCCAAGAGGTACCCACTTGAAAGTCACAAAGTGTTAAGGATGGTCAACTTCGGGCGCTTTGGCCCCGTTTTTCGGGTCGGTTTCTTGCTCCAAGTCTGACTTCTAGTTTTTTTCCAGGGAGTCAAAATCCATTCTGTCGAACCTTGTTAGGAACTGTGGAAAGGCTTTAAAAGGGTTCCACGCGGCGTGAACTCTACGGGGGGCAATGGGTGGTGTCTCTGAATTAACCCGTTTCAAGTTAGTTGAATGGCAATTCAAGAGGAAACAAACTGCTTTGGCAAACACCCTTATTCCCAACATTGGGAGATATTGGGATATATATGTATATAGTTGACATGTTTCCTGATTTAGGGAAGCAACAGTACTCTCCCGCCATCATGAAGCCTAGCGGAGAAATAGCCCCTTGAGGAAAATTGTCTTGGACACCCATCAGTCAGGTTCCATGTTAGTTTATGGGGAAGCCTTATATTGCACAATTTGAGTTGATTTTCCTTGAACCCTCCCCAAAAAGACTCGCCAGTATATAGTGTATTCATTTGAGCCACAATCAAAACCCGGATAGATGAAGGTTAGCAAGTCCCAACCAGAAAATAGCTGCGGCCGCCTTCTTATTTCTTTTGGGTAGACCACTTTACTATATACCGGGTTTTGATTATGACTCATTTGCAGAAGAACCTCCAACTCATTTACCGAAACGCTTGCGCCAGGGCATCCCAGTGGACAAGCATGTGAGTCCGAAGGTGGGCAGGGCGGATGCAGGGATTGCATCGGATGCAGGGATCGGATGCAGATTTTTCTCTGTTTGGCCACTTCTTGGCTTTGCTTGGATCTTTCTGCATAATTTTTGGGGGCAAAACAAGCTCACCATGGTAAAGCTCATTTACTTGGGCATTATGTGAGGTGTTGGGCATGCGGCATATTGTAGACTTCGCAGAGAATCTTTAGACTTTGACTATTTGGCAAATGTTGATTTGTCCCACAATGTGTTTGCATGGTTCACTCAGCCCTCCAAGTGCTGTGACGGCTGGTTCCATTTGCTTGAGGGTGTTCAAGGGAGCGCTAAGCGCTTTGTCCTTAGCCTTCTTCGCGTCCGAAGGCTATACGGGGTCTTTGAGTTGCTGACTTTGGTCACCAGCTAATAGTCAAATAACAGAGGGTTACCAAACTAAATACTTACTAGACAGTCATACATCCTAGTCTTGTCGAACAGACAACAACGCGACTGTACTGCTGTTTTGGTGGACCTTTTAACCTTAAACTGTTGGTTGGACATGTGCATCAGAGTGCAGCACTTTGTCGAACTGACTTTTTGAGCCAAGGGTCAAAAGTAATCCATCCCAGCGGTCGAGGAAGATGGGAGTGGGTAAGAACCACGTGCGACAAAGCCTTGCCAAAACGGCAATCGACACGGCGAGGCCGGAAAAAAACATGCTTTGAACGCGGACAATCTGCAGAACCCCCACGTGTCAGGTGGCCTTTGAATGAGGTTAGAGGTGGCAGGCCACAGTTTGCCCCTGAAGCCAGCACAAAACGCGCCCAATCCCAAGCCACAATCCAAGCCCAAACTCCCAACAACAAAAACTTGGGGTTGTGGTGTTAGGGGACGCCCTCAAAGCTCAGGATTTCGGAATGGTGTTTTCCTTCGGGTGCTGTACCCAAATGCAACACCACTCCTCAACCTCCAAACCACCGATGCCGTTTGCATCGCGCCAGGGAAGATCGATGTTCGCCGATACGACGACTTCTGACTCGACGGCGCGCCCATTTTTTTTCTCCGCCGGGGAAGGGCTGGATTGGTGCCTTTGCCCGGCCTTCAGCGGGGAAGCTTTGGGGAAAAACATGGGCGTGTCGGAAAAAATGGATTCGCGGGACCCGGCAAGTTCAAAGACGAGGTCCCCCAGCTGGGTGCCCTTCTCTCCCCTTTTTTGGTTGGGAGATGCGGTTCCCCGACGAAAAATAGACTACAGAAAAAGGGGTACCCGTATTCCAGCCTCTCTACTGGAGGACCTGGAAGGGGTTCCCCAGCTGCTTTCGCTGAACCCCAAATGGGTACCCAGGAACGCTCAAAACTTGATACAGGTTGACCCTCCTTGAGTCAAGGAGATCCGCACCTTCGCCGGGGTATGGCATACCCCGACAATGGTACCTAGCTCCCCCAGCTAGGTGCCCTTTCTCACCGTCTTGTTGGGGGAGGGTTCCAAACTACTAAATGGACTACAGAAAAACGGGTACCCTTATTCTTAGGTCCTCTACTGGAGGACCTAGGTACATATTGCCTACCTGATGTGTGTGTGTGTGTGGCTCAGATCAGGTTTCCCCCATGCGACCTTCTGGGTCTCACCATTTGGGTCCCGAGTGGTGCCCTTTCTCCTTTTTTTTGGGGAAGGGGTCCGATTCCTTGAAAATCAACCAACCAAAAAAGGATGCCCGTTTTTTCCCATGGCCACTGGGCATCTGAGAAGACTAGCTCTAGGCAATTTAGAGCGAGGTCAGCCGAGGTGCGAGGTGGAGCAAATATGTTTAGCGAGGTGATTTAACTAAATTCAGAACAACGAGGTGCACACGTAGATGCAGCAGGAGAGGGTCCCACAGCAGGAAAAAACTTTTCAGGGGCTAAAAAGTTATTTTATACTGTCAGAGGTGATTGTTGGGGAAAATAACTTTTTGGGCCCTGCAAAGTGTTTTTTCTCATAGTCTTCCCGTAGCCTTCCCAGAGCACCCCTAGTCTCATTGTTTCCGGCAACCCCTCAGCAAAGCCTTTGACACAACAAAGGCCAGCCACTTGCCTTTGGCCAGGGTCACATGGAAAGATATTTTGACATTGCTGTCATTTGGGATCCAGCGGCAACCGGAAATGCAAAGGATCCTTTCCAAGGTGTGTTTGGAGTGGGGAACAAACGGAACGAAATTTCTGGAAACGGCATAGCGGCGGAAAAATGAATAGTTTAATTTAATGAACCATACTGTATTGCATATTGTATTCCATGTATATAGCAGACTTGTACTAGGACATTGTATTGGTGTTTGCGAGCTGCCAAAGTTTCCTGTAGCGCACTTGTACTGGGACGCGGCGTTGTTGTTGGCAAGCTCGGGGCTGCCAAAGCACAAAATAAACTTTTCAGGGCTTGTAAAGTTGTTTTTCAGCACTCCAGGCAGCTATCCGGGGCTGCCAGCCCTCAGAATGGAAATAAGCGACCCTGCAGGCAGCTAGCGGCCGCAAACGTGCAAAGTAAACTTTTCGGAGCTTGAAAAGTTTTTCAGCGCCTCCAACGGCTATCCGCGTTCTGGACTCGTACTACAAAATTGTGATTTTCGCGCTGGAGCTGCGGAAGCGTACTTTTTTGTACTTGGCTTGTAAACGAGTCGTGGAAGCACGCTAGGCTTGTGCTACAAAATTGTGATTTTCGTGCTGGAGCTGCGGAAGCGTACTTTTTTGTACTTGGCTTGTACTACGAGTCGTGGAAGCGCGCTTCTTGCACTAGGTTTGTGCTACAAAATTGAGCTTTTCGAGCTGGAGCTGCGGAAGTGTACTGGAACGTGGCATTGGTGTTGGAAGGCTCGGGGCTGCCAAAGCGCAACATTATCTTTTCGGAGCCTGAGAAGTTTTTCAGCACTTTAGGCAACTATCCGCGTGCTAGACTTGTACTACAAAGTTACGATGTGACGAGGGATTTAACGAGGTGACGAGGTGACCACGGATTTAACGAGGCGAGGCGCACACTCCAAAACCTTATTTAACAACGAGGTGACGAGGTAAGATTTATTGTAAATTGCCTAGACTAGCTGATGTTTAGGGTAGATATGAAACAAACATTCCATGGTTTAAGACCACTTGCTCGATCTATAGAACCAGCTCCCATCAGCCAGGATCGGGGTTGTGGGATCACTCGGGGTTTCTCCCCGCTTCTGTGATACTTTTGGGAGTCCCCCTTTATATGAAGAAAACAGTCTTTGGGGTTAGGCCCTTTCTGTTGTACCACAGAAGTGGATTCCATTCCCCACAGCCCTGGCCAGGACAAAAGAAAGAGGGCGCTTGGTTTGGTCCCATCTTAAACCGACAAGGAAAGATATACAGATCAAGCCTTGTGACAGGGAAGTCACGGACCAACCCAGTGGGAGTGGCCCAAAAGGCCAGGCAGTTCATGCGTGCTGTTCATGGATGCGATGTTATACTGGAATACAGGGACCTCATAGTGCAGTCCAGCTTGGTGATGCACGCTGGATTTCACAAGCTGTGTGTTCCTAGATCCAAATTCACTGGCAAATATCGTTTATTTTTGCTGACTACACTTCAAGCCCAAGATAGTGTGATGGGCTTGGGGCGTTGCCATTTTGTTCCCTGTCTCTTTCTTTGACTCTTTCTTTCTCTCTCGCTTTCTTGTTTATTCATGTTTGTCTTTATATTATTGTTGCTCTTTCTCGTTGTCTCTTTACCTTTTGCTTTGTTGTTCTCTTTGTAATTTGTGGAGTGTTTAGAGGTCCACCCCGCGAAGGTCCGAGCAGGGTTCTCCATTCGTGCCAATCCGCCCGCTCTGCACCCAAGCCAGCTCCGAGCATAGAATGGATTCATGTATTCATTTGATTTATTATTAGATTTCACGGAAGCCCCGCCGGGTCAATCAGTTCTGATGATGTAGATCAGTAGATCCAGGCATCCAAATTTTATGTCGGCATTGGAATTCTCCAAATTTATGTACAATATGGCACACCCTCAAACTAAGCTGCCAAGGGATCTGTTTCTCGGTTCCAGTGTTTTTGTGCGATGCCCACTTCTGCTTGGGCATATGGGTGTTTCTCTAAAGTACGGACCCTTTTTGGCTTGGTTTCAAAGATGAACCAAACATCAACAATATGTTAAGCAGGCAATTTCTTGCTGGTGCTCAGTGGGGACAAGGGGAATGAACCCAGGGTCTTCTGAAAAGAAACCACCTGTTGGGTGTTTTTTTCTTCTTCTGTTTTTCCGGCGTTCCTTTTCTCGTTTATTCCCTTCCCATCGCACCGATCACAAGTTTTCAAGATGCCCTATTCCGAGAAACACAATATGGAAATGCCAACCCATCAAACAACAAGGAAATCCGAGTTTTGGAGGGGGGCCTCGGGCAATCTCACTGCCTGAGTTCCTGAACTTCAGTCACTTGTTGGGTTTGGACCATTTTAGTGATAAATGAAGAGTGTGAGGTATGTGTTCCTTTTCTTTTTGCTGGGATTTTGGTTCGATCGTCAACTCAGGAAGTGAGCAATCCATCGGCTTGCGTCAGGACCTAGATCTGGAGACCGGAGCGTCCCCCTTCGAGAAGGGCCGCGCCAAGAACGCAGGCGCTCGCGATGGCGCATGGGAATGCGATGGCGCTTGCGCATTCGCTTGCGCGGGTTTCCTTGGTGCTTCCTCGGGGGTTGGCTATGAAAAACGACAGACCCACCAATACCTAAATTGGAGTCTCCTGCTGACCCTTAAATTATTGGTCATGACCCCTTTGTTTGGGGTAATGATCCCATTAAGGGTCATAGAGACTGCAGGTAAATTGGAGGGGATTGCACAATCCCAGCCATGGGTGCGGATATCGGGACCAACAAGCCCGTGACGGGCTATGTCCTGAACTCTGACTTTGAAGATGTTCAAGCGCCTTGCTTCGATAGGTAGGGAACTCGGGGACACGCATGCGCCAGCCCTTGCAGTTTTCTGCATCCCAAACCTCACTCCCAAGTTCCTTTTTAGTTTAGCCACTGTTTGGGCTTTGGACCATGTTGGTGGCAAGCAAACAGCTTGGTTTGACCTTTGTTGGCCAGTCCACCCAGGAAGTGAGATGCAGTTCATTCCCAAATTGCTGTGGGTCAACTCGCTGTACCCCTGGTGAACATCAAAATATGTGCTACATGGGGGTAAGGAGGGACCCCAGCGGCACTGTGCATGACTTGGACCCCATGTCCTTTTTGGTTGTTTTGGTAGAAAAAGTAGATGGCCCTGGTTTACCTGGTTTAATCATCTACCAGGGCCATCTATTTTCCACACAACGCCAAAATGGTTAACCGCCTATCCCTGAAAGTCTTGTCAGGATCTTTGGGGAAGAAAAAGAACACATTGGATTGACGGCTTCGGTGTCTGGCTTCCAAAAAGATGGTACAGAGAAGCTGGATCCGCTGACCGGGCCATGATGGGCCATGGCCCATGGGCCTCATGGTCGCTAGGTCGTGTGTCCTGTGTCTAAGGAGTCTGAAATATAATTGTGGATTTCAGACAGGCACCTTACTGGTGTTAACTCGGTCCGCTTACGGCGAATCCCAGCCGTCCGGTTCCTTGAGCCTTTAAGGGGTGTCCATGTAGCGACTCTTTATATATATATATATATGGGTGAATCATAACGACTCACACGACCTCACCCTAAATGGTGGTTTATGTGAGGAATAGCCCGCCAACCACCCTATTTCATGTTGGTGGAATATTATAATTTATTTGTGTATGTATATAATTACATTTTTCTCTATATATATATGCTCACCCCCCCCCCCCAGGGCCTACCTTTCCACTTCAAAATGTACAAAACCCTCTTATTTTTAAAGACAGGGGGTGTGAGCATAAATACGCAAGAAGTGTGCTGTTGCTGCATATTTTTTTGTGGGTGACAAGTCATGTTGAGTAACAACAGCAAACAGCAAAGAGTTTATAAACTTACAAGACAGTTTATAAACCATATCAAGGGTTTGACGGTTTCCCTGCAACAAGGGCAGGGGGGGGGTCAGAACTCTTTACAGGGGGGGGGAGGGGGGGGGGGTACTGAGAAGTCTTTACAAAGTTGGCTGAGTCACACCTCACTGCTAAGACTTCCAACCACCCCCCTTCCCCTTCCCGGGGGGGGTACTGAGAAGTCTTTACAAAGTTGGCTGAGTCACACCTCACTGCTAAGACTTCCAACCACCACCCCCCCCCCCTCCCCCCCAAGACTTCCAACCAACCCCCCCCCCCATCCTTCAACGATACCATGAACACTTCGTAGGGTGTTGTTGCCTTGACGCGGGAAACTCGTCAAACACTCAATAAGGTTTATAAACTTTCCTGAAAGTTTATAAACCTTCTGTAGGCTTATTGCGTAGCAAGTGGAGACTGCTGTTTGGGAAAAAAAAGGACACTCATTTGAGGCCTTGTTTGATGTGGTTTGGGCATGTGGTCCTAAAAGGTTGATGATTGTGTGTGGGTGTGTCATCACTGCTGCACTGTTATATCAAAGGCTGTCCATTCGGTCCAAGGGAACACAATCTGAGCAACTGCTGCAAAACACTCTGTTTTACAGCATTTTGTTGGATCTCTAATCCCTTGAAATGTCCAATTTGAAACACCTGAAACCTAGAATCTGGAGATCAGAATCCTTGAGATGTCTAATGTTGGATTCTCCAAGCCTCATAATTTGGAGCCTGGAGTCCAACATATCCAAGTACACATTCCTTTCCAAATACGATTTTGATCCGAATTGAATTTGCATATTGAATAGAATTTAGTAAGCACATAGTTCACCACCATTCATAATTCACCATAATGTCTATATTAGATCAGAATTTGAACAGGAATACCTTTCCAAATAAGGAAAATATGATTGCAGTAGAATCCAAATATACTTTAATGCAGACAGAATTCAATTAGCTTTTGAACATAATAATTTGATCAAGAATCCATCCCCAAATACAGCTTGAATTGGAATATAGCTGATTCTGGAAAGAAATCACTTGGCCTTTGCAATCAAATTTTAATAGTAACTCATTCCCAAATATGATTTAGCTTAAATGTGGCTAAACAAATAAAGGGCGCATATCCCCAGACTCCCAAACTTGGTCTGGAGATGTGTTTGGCATGTGCAGGTCTCAGAGCTTTCATTTTCAGGAGATTTTGTGCTTTTGGGTCTGTGCAGGTTCAGAGCTCAAAGCTGCCAAAAACATCATGTTTTCAATGTTTTTCCCTGGTGTACTCAAAACCACTGTAAAAACCAGTGATTCAATCAAAGCCAGGCTCGAATCTGAAAACGGAATCCGTTTTCGCTTTGCTGCGAATCAAGCCTCAAATAATCAGACATTTGCTGTCACATAGAAGGTAACAAAACAACAAAAACACTGTATTTTACAGTGTTTTCAGGCATCTGCAAGAAAGAGGCACACAGAGTAGAGTTGACACCTTCAACTAGAAGAGGGCAAAGGTAGGCCCTGGGGGGGGGGGGGGTGACCATATATATATATATATGTATATTCACTTTTGAAAACGGACAGCCCAGCATTGATCCGTTCCTTGGCTGGAGCCTTTGGTTGCCCATGCGTCTAGGCTTTGATTCCAACTATTATTTGCAACCATCGTGCTGTAAACCGATCTCTGTTTCCAACCTGGGTTGTTGGCCGGTTTCCTGAAGAGAACAAAAAGTGGGATCCCTGGAAAGAATGGACATGGTCTAGCTTCCCCAAGAAATGCGGACGGGAACCCTGCACGCGGCATGCGAGGGCTCGATGAACACCTGCCAGGTGCCTTGATGAGCATAGACGAAATGGCAGCGGCCAGGGTCCCAGGGTCGCGGCTGAGGACGCCCACTTATGTTCATCATGGTTAGGGAACCAACCTTGCTGGTGCGATAAGAAGGCCAGGTCCCCCAGCTAGGTGCCCTTCTCTCCCTTGTTTGGTTGGGAGGGTTCCCAGACTACAGAAAAAAGAAACGGTACCCTTATTCTAAGCTCTCTACTAGAGGACCTAAAGAAGGGAGTGTGGGCATGAACCCAGGCATTGGTCCCCTTAAAGGATACCACAAGAAAGACTGCACCGGATCATGGCCCACCGCCACGGTTGTACGGGAACCACCCCCAGCCCGCATTGTGTCCGTGTGCCCGAATGTCAACTTCGGATAGTCCGGATCCTATCAATCAGTACGAGTCCTCTTCAAAATCGATCATGCCCCTGGCAAATAAAAGGGACACCACCCCTTACAAAGTCCTCTGGACGAATCCAAAGCGCGGCCTGACAGTTTCAGTGAGTTTCTCCTTGGGCACGGGAAGGGCCAGCAGCCTTCTGTTGCCTCAATCCACCAGAAGGTCTTGGCCGCCGCGAAAGGATCTTCACGATCAGTTGGCCCAGCGTCGATGGCTCCGGCTGGGTTTTCCGACTGAGATTTTCCCCAAACGGGTCGGCGGCCACCTCAGACCGGGGCTTCCAATAATTCCACGTCCATTCGGGTCCTGCCTTTGAAATCACGGCCTTCAGAATTCCTCGGGCCTGAGGCTTCAACCGAAGAAACGCCTCCAGCTGCTTAAGAATATGTTATTTTCCTGTTTGGTCTTGAAAGGAATTCATCACTACTGTTTATTTTTGTTTCCTGGGGCCTGAACCAAATGGAAGTACGCCTACTCCAAGCTGGCAATAATGCAGAAAGACGCCAACAGCAACGCCAAGAACCTGGACAGGGGAAGTGGTCGGCTTACTCTATGGGATCCCAATCTTCACGCTCTTCCGAGGCTTAAGAACCCGTTGAGGAGCTTGGGATAGTTGTTCCATTACCTGAGCCCTTAGACCATGCAACTGATCTTTGTTGGAAAGACTCTCGTGAATAAGTCATCAAGAAGACTTGCATCTTTGGATTCCGCAGTGGCTGGGGCAGTATATGTTGTGTTCAATTCGCATATCAGCTAGTCCACGTGTGGCCTTGTCCAAACTCGACGTGGACCTTTCCAGGCAGAATGAGGGCTCCCCAAGCAAAACATGCTCGTGATTTGCAGCCGTTCCCAGAAAAGAAACGATGACTGGATAACGTCTACGTCCCCCGATTCTGACCCGTGGAAATCCACCTCAAGGTTAGAGTCTATGTGGGTATGTGTTTGCTTCTTGAGGTGCCTTTTTTCATGTTTTGGAAAGGACAATCACAATGACAACGACAATTTCAATATGGTAATTTGGTCTATCCTTAGGAACACACTCATGTGTCGGCTTGCAAACCAACATATTTGCATCTCCGAGGTGTTGGTCAGAAGCTGTGCTTTGTGGTGTTTAACAGGGTTGACCTGACTTGACCACTTTGGCCATCTTGAAAACACAGCAGATTTGGCGAAATTATATATTTGGGGTCTCCAAAACTCTTTTGTACAGTAGGGAAAGGGTAATCTGAACTTCTGAACTCTGAACATCTCATTTTCTGCAAATATGACAACAGGCGCATATGAAACATGATGTGAACCTGTGTTCTGCGTAACCCAGATGTGTTTTACCACCTTCCATTTGTTAAGAATAAGTGTTTCCCCTGTTGATTTTAACGGGAATACTACTATATACAAGTATGTCGGTTGCTTTCCGCGGGACTGAAGCAAATGGAGTCTGAGTTTTGAACCCTGGCGTTTCGTGGTACCGTTTCCGACAGTCCAAGTCCAGTCGGCCTAGGAGTTGGAGAACATGCCGCTGGACGGTTGGGCTGGGGTGGCTGGTTAAGCTCGCGCGAATCGGTGTTAACCTGGGGTTGATCCAAAGGTCTGTAAAGCATAGGATGACCATTGGTTGGAAAACCACCAATGTCCTCTAAATGTAGAACGTTTCCCATGGTCATTTTGGGGCCAGGAATATAATATTGATCAACCCCCCTGTGAGTGTTTTATGATGGCAACCCGGTTGTAAGTTGGTAAGGGAATCTACAGGGAAACCGCCTAGTTGGATTGTTGTTTTCACTCATGCTTTATCCTATTATTGAACTCTCTGGGGAGCAGAGCTGTGGTTGTTTCCCCTTGTTTTTTGGGAACCATGCTTACTCAAGGCACCAAGAAGTGAAGCCCCTCGTATGTTGAGGTCCTTTGGGCGTGTAAGGAGAAGGTCCAAAATCAGCAGGACTGAGGTATTCACCATTGGTCGAGCTGAACTGGTCCTTGGGGAATTCTTGTTACGTTGCTTACAGAGCGCAAGGTTTTCCGAAGCCTTCGACTAGTAGGTGAGAACCTTTCCGGGAGGTGGAGGGGTTCTAGCCCACTACATGTTGGTTTTCTATCCCAACATTGACCCAGTGGGAGGGGGTGTTGTGCATAAATACCACACATGGAGAGTGTTTGGGTAGAGTTGTCGCTCCTATATTGGAAAGCATGCGTCCTTTCAACCAGGAAAGCCCTAAAATCCGTGCCATGCGTAATCTCCGCAGAAGGAATCGACGATCCTTTATTTGACACCCGGCCTGGGATTATCTAGGTTTTCTTTGGTTGCAGGGGGGGGGTCAAAGACAAATCCACAAAGCCTCCGAACGAGAAAGCATCACGACACCTTTGAGACAGGGGGGGCTGCCTGTACTGCAGGAACATGAACACATAGCTAGTATTCCGTTTTGCTTTTGCTGCCACTTGATGAAGATGGCTTGCACTGGGTACATAGGCTCACTCACTAGTGGCCAACAATTCGGCAACTCTGCTCAGGAACTGAGTAGGGCATATCGATGGCCAGCGAGGTGAGCCAGAATCAGAACCTCTTATTGTTCTCCCAATCCGAGTCTCTGTCAGGGTCTACTTTTGTGATGCCCAAAAGCAGACCAGTCAGGGGAGTCAGGGATCCAGGATCCATCCGAGATCCAGCTGAGCCTGGAGTCCAAAGAACCCCTCTTTTTGTTTGCTTTTGACCCACAAGAAAGGGGTACACAGGCAGAAAAAGGGTGCCCTTGGGGTCCAGGTAATCAATTTACTAGTTTCCTTTCGGAGGCTAGACACACATTTCTTCTTTGCATGCGATCGGAACCCGTGTATAAGAACGCATTTAGGGTCCACCTGGCACCCCGTATGTTTTTTTTGGTTTCGGTCAAACTCCCGTATTTGGCCGTATTTGCCCGTATGGCCATGATTTGTCGGTCATTTGCGTGAATCACCCGTATGAAACCCATTTTGTTCGACATGTTGTTGAAAAAAAGCTGTGCAAATTCCGTATTGCCTTGTTTGTTTTTTTTGTTCCGGTAAAAAGCGTATGACCTTAAAAAAAAAAAAAAAAACATATGGGGTCCCAGGCAGCTGGAAGCCCTGAATGTTGACCCCGGTCTGTGCAAGCGGTTGACAAGTTGCGTGTTCCCCCTTGAAGGAGCCAGACATTCTCCGGGAGCTTCTCCAGATTTCTGTGGATTTGCATTTTTTGCGCAAACAAAATCGCAGTCTCCCTTGGCTTTCCCTGAAAAAACCAAGCCCGAACAGGCGTAGCCTCCAACAAATTCCAACACGCGATGCGCCATGAGACCCAAGCGTAGCTATGGTCGGGGGGGTGGGGTTAGGCGCCCCTCATCCCTTCGCCTGCCAGGCTCTCAAGGATGAGGTGATTTTTCTTTGTGCTGGGCTAGATCCCCCAGTAGTGCCCTTTCTCACCCTTTTTTAGTTGGGAGGGTTCCCCTACTAAAATAGACTACAGAAAACAGGGTGCCCTTATTCCAACCTCTCTAATGGAGGACCTAGTGGGTCTGTTCCGGGGCTGTTCCGAAAAGATGACCAAAATTCATTGGGAGTACACTTGGTTTGCGTACTTCAAAAAGGGCCCGTCGGGGAGCCCGGGGCCAAGACAAACCGCCGGGGTTCGTTTATGGGGCTGGCAGCTGGTGCTCAAGCCATGCCATACTCTGGAGTCTCCATGACCCTGAAAAAATGATTGGTCATGACCCCTTTATTTTGGGTAATGATCCCCTTTTTTAAGGGTCGTGGCAAATCTACGGTGAGCTTCCTGGGGTCAAGACATATGTGATATGTGTTTCCCCTTTTTTTGTTTCTTCTTCGGAGACCCGAAATGGTATCAACCAAATCTGCGGGGATTTGCGAAAGCCGACCTCTTCACCTTCCGGTTTTCCGTTTTTGGTCCATTAGTAAAGCTCCCAAAAGTGATCACAGGCAACTGAGCTCCAGGACAACGCGTACCCCCGCGCGAAAGAGAAAGAGGGGAACCTGCTGAGCAAGTTCCAGTACGAGACGGCCATGAAGCTCCAGGCGGAATTGAATTCCGAATCGGACTTCCGAATCGATTCGGACGTGTACGTGCCATCCAGAAAGCAAAGCAAAAAATGGCTGAGCAAGAAAGTTGGCACCTGGGCAAGTGGAACTCAGTTGCCCAAAGCCGACCTTTTGACCACTTTTGGTTTTCCCGTTTGGTCCATTTCTAGTGGAGGTGTCAAAAGGTTAACCTTTTATTTCTGGGTCCTTTCAGCAAGTGAGAGAAACAAAGACGAAACCCCAGGGCGTTAATCTTGAGCGACTCCCAAATTTATCATTGCCTCCAAATGGTTGGACTGGACTTCCATTTTTTGGGCTGCCAGGCAAAGGGTTTTTAGTGGTACTTAGTGGATCCATTTAAAATTATACAGCAGGTCACCAAGGGAACCATCCTTGAAAATCCAAAAGGAAAATGGCGGGTTACCCACCATAAGGGTAACACTAGTCCCTAGTGTACAGAATGGACTTGCGTTGGCCAACCCACAAGCGAGTCCTCGAGATCCAGATCTACTATAGGGAAGGCCTATAGCAAAGAAGCAAATTCCCCAAGTGTTCTATGGTGTTGAAATGTTGCCCTGTTGCGTTGTTTCAAGGGTCCGGGGGAAGGGAGGGAGGGAGGGCAAGATGGGAAATAGAGGGTGTGAAGGGTTGTGGGGGGGTCAATAGTAGAGATTCGGTCAAAAGGCAATGATCAAATTTGATCTGGACGTTGAAGGATACTTGCTCTTGAAGTGGGGTAAAGCCCTTGCAGCAAGGGGCACGCTTGGCAAAGTGCATCTTACATGTGACTGTCGAGGCGAAGCGCTTGCTTGACCTTTTGGCTTCCCTAGGCCCATGTTCAGTGGTGCCAAAAGGTAACTCTGATTTACTAGACTCTCGGGGCAAGGTTGTTACACACTCCCTCAGACTAAGATGGAAGCTCCCAGAAGGCCTCTGTAAATGGAACCGAGTCTTCCAAAAAAATCCTGGGAGCTTCCATGTTGGGGGAGGGTAGAAGTCAAAGGGGCCGTCCTTTACTTGTTCGATTCATTTTTCCGTACGGCACGGTGAACCCTGGGTTGATTAATAGAGGGTGTCTCTTGGTTTGTCGTCCATGGTCAACATTAGTCATGTGGGTTTATGCGAGTTGCCTTTTGCCGCTGGCAAGTGCATCAACTCATTGTGCGCATGTCCTCTGTACAAGGCAGACATGCGGATCTGTCTCAAAATCGGGGGGAGATCAACACATCATGTTTGCTCTTTTGGTTCGCTTCAAACCAACCGCAAACAAGGTACCCTCCAAACATACATACCCATGTTCACGCGCCAATGTGGCTATGACTTTCAATGGAGAACCACCTCCAAAGCGGGTGGTGCACATCAATCGCAACCTAAATAATGTCCTGTCCACCAACAGGTCCCATATTGGAATTCACACCCAGAAGGCGACCACATGTTCTTTCAAGGTCCTTTGGGAAGCTGCGGAGAACCAAAGGTACTCCCGCAAAACTTGTTTGGCTATGTGTCAGACCCACAAAATGTTGTTTCCCCTGTTCTTTTCCTTTTCGCCAATGTGGAAAAGGGCACCCTCCAAAGAAGCAGCCACGCCCATAATATGTCGGCAGGAACCCAAAGTCATGTTTTGTGTGGTTGACGTTTGGTTTACGTCCTGAAGATGGCTTTTGGGGGGGTTAAAAGGGGTCTAAGTACCTCCTTAGAAGGTACTTGGACCCTGGCTGGGCAGCAATGCCACCTTCACCCACCCCAACCTTCCTCACCGTCGTTTTGGTCGCTTCGACAGTCCCGGCTGGAGATGAGGGATTTCGAGCGCAAGGCTGGGGGCCTGCTGGGGGGTTGGGAACAATCCCAACCGTGGCAACGTCATATTTGAGGAAATTTCAGGGTTCCCTATTTGTAAACAGCACCCTCCATTTGCTTAAGAATGTGTGCTGTTTTTGTTCCCCCTTGTTGTGTTTAAAAGGAATTCATCACTACTGGAAATGTTTTTTTTTTTCATGGGGCCTTAACCAAATGGAAGGCGCCAAAGGAAACTCACTAGAGGTAATGGTTAAAGCCACGGGAAACTCGTAAAATTGCGTGAAATGTTTTACCCCGCTGCCCTTTCCATGGAGTGGCCCTCACAGCCTAGCTTTGTGTGGGCGGGTGTTATTGTTGGACGATTTCTTCTAGCTACTGGCATCCCCTTTCCATAGCACAATGAAATGTGGCAGCTACTTTCACCCTAGATCCTGCTGCTGTAGGGTTGTTCGAGAGTGGCGACGCTCCTAAAGCCGTTGCTTGCACCTTGCGACACGAGCGAAGCCGCGACGCTGATCAAAGGATTTGGCCTCTGGTTTACCATTTGGGTTCGAACCCTGAACAGTCATGCACAGGGGACCTTCCATTTGCAGATATGAATAGGTTTCATGTTCCCCTGGTTTTGAAGGCAATCCATCGCTACTGGAAACAGTTTTTTCAGGAGGCCTAAGCAAATGGAAGAATTGAGTTCCAACCGTGAGCATTCATGCACACAAAACATGATTGTGATTTTCTTCCCTGGCTATAACGGAATCTGCACTTGGAAATATGCATATTTGTTCCAGAAGGAAGACGTGAGTTCAAACCCTGAACAGTCATGCACACAAAAGGGGACCCATTTGTTGACGTGTTTGTTTGTTTGGTTTTTTTTCCCCCATGGTTCACTATGCGAACGTAGCTTCCATTTCTATTCCATTCACCTGCCCAAAAAGGAGTTGCAGTTTTGCCATAAATCGCAACGATGTTCCTGGCACTTCTGATTTAACATTGTTTTGGGCAGACCCGATTGAACACCAGGTTGCTGATGACCCATCAATCATGCATGTTTATTGGCGTGTGTTTTCGTTGTTTGATTTATTGTTTTTTTTGTGTGTTTGCGAGGTGCTGCAAACAGCGCAATTCCCGCGGAACATTGCAGAGCTTGCGAAGATGAGCGAGAACAGAAACAACCGACTTCTATCTTTGACAACAAACGCAACGAACACACAACGGGGTCTTGTTGCCTAGCACCGTAGGCGGGGATCGCTTTCCAGGTCAGAAGATGTTGCTAGGACGGCAGCTTAGACTCGCCTAAAGAAGCCCCGTGTGGACATACCTTGAACTACCATCGAAACGGGGTCTGAAAACAGGAATCGGAACCATGGCTTCTGGGTTTCCTGTTGGGCTTCCCTTACCCTCAAGGGCGACCCAACCAAAATACCTGGGACGCAACTTTTTCCTGCTGGGTTCAAACGCTTCGTGATTCGTTGGTGTTTTTTTTTGCCAGATAGGCCGCGAATTTCTGTGGGATCCCTCGAACCCATGAAGAAGAAGAAACTGAGGAAGAGTCGTGAGCGGACTCAAGGTAATTTCAATGGAACCCTCGCATGACTTGACTTGTCACACCCTGTTTAGTTTTACAAGGCACAAGGCATTAGGTGTTGAATCTAGAAGGCAAAACCCCTTATTATGAACAAAAGACAATGTCCAGGACCCCCCAATGGCTGGCAAATGGGCTGTGAAATGACCTCCGAATTGCTGTTTTGGGGTTATTTGCCAGCCATTGGGGGGTCCTGGGTGTTTCCATTTCTCTGGCAACACATGAATCTGCGTTCTGCGTTCATCGAAACCAGGCGGCTGCGTTAAACAAGAAATCCGCGTAGCGATGCGAGGACCAGGCGGAGCATGTGCGCCTGGCGGACGTGGAGGGCGAGATGCTGGATCTGACCATGGGCAAGGAGCCTGCATGCATGGGCATGTGTTTTTTGATTATTATTATTGTTATTATTATTATTATTATTGTTATTATTATTATTATTATTGGTATTAATATTATTATTGTTATTATTATTATTATTATTATTGTTATTATTATTATATTTTGTAGTATTTGCTTCGCGCCTCTCTGACATGAGTGTTTTCTTGTTCCGATTTCGGGCCCCTCTGGCATGAATTGTTTGAATGAATTCGGGCCCCTCTGGTGGCCCTAACATTTAGGGGGGGTTGATTGGCCACCAACCGCTTGCCAGCTGTTTTTTTATTCAAGTTCATGGCCTTTTTTGTGCCAAGGTCGGTTCGCCAGGTTCATGTCAGGGATCCACCTGGTAAGGATCCTGAACCAAGAATTCCTAAGGGAGCCATGACCATGGGCATAGGGAGTTTTGACCATGGCACACATGTGGGTATGATATGTGTCAAAGTTCGGGGGCAGGATGGGTTTCCCATGGGTGTCACTTTATACCCAAAAAGGGTACGCTGAACAAAGCCATATTTCCACTGCGGGCTTGGTGGCCGCTTCAACATGGTGAGCAAGTTCAAAGAGCTGAGGAAGCCAGGAAGCAAGTGAGGCATGCTTGCAAAGCCAGTCTGAACAGGTCTGGAGGGTCCAGCTAGTTGAGGAGGCAAGTTGGCGCCAAGGTGCCCAACCATAAGTGGTGATCGTTTCAATGGACACCAGGCAATTGCAATTGTTATAGTGCCCTCTCTCTGTTTAACGAGTTTCCTCCATGTCTTTGGTGCATTTTGCTTGGCTGTTAGGACTTGAGAACTTTTTGCCAACTCATGGGTTTTCCGCACTAAACCACTAAAAGTGAGTCACTTTTAGCCGGGCTTCGCAGATTTCGCAGCAGAGGTGTCCTTCTCGCCGCAAGAAGTTTTTTTTCGGATATTTGCCTGGCTCAAAGGGACCGTTCGGTTCTTCGGATTTCCTAAAGGAGAAATCCGTTTCCGAGACCCGAACACATGACGCCAAAGGCGTGGCTTTTCGGTTTGCCGGTTGTTGTTCCTTCATGGTTTTTTGCAACTAGCTAAAAGTTAGCAGACCCTTTGCTGGCGGGTTTCTGGAATATGTTCCTTTGAACATCTAAAGAGTAGGGATGCCCCTTGTCAATTAGGGCGAGTCTTTGTGGGCCACCCCCTGCTTGCCTCTTGTTTGCACGGTTGGAGAGGGGGACAAGGCAAACTGCCTAACGCAGCTCCCGTTGTTTTGGGACACCGCACGTCATCCTTTGCGTGCCAAGCTGGCCTTCGAGGATGGTTTGATGTTATTCGGAGTTTCCCCCAAGCTTCCGACTGAAGCTTTCCTGGTGAGTGGACAAAAGAACGGTTGGCCGATTTCAGCCAAGTTGCTGGGTTTGTTGGTAGATATCTTCGTTTCAAGGCCAAAGACAGTTTACGCATTCGGCCAGTGAATTGGGCAGGTCAGGGGATTGGACAGTGGCTCGGCTTGGGTGTCCTGGGTCGAGGTTTGGGTCCTCCTTACTTCCCAAGGTGGGCTGGAAACTTGTTGGCGAGGCCCGTTTACTTCAGCACAGTATTTGGGAAGACTTGTTTTTAGTGCACTTGTGTGTGAAGATTTGCTTCGACTTTTGTTTGTTGAATCTATATACCCAGGAACAGAGGTACCCATAAGAGAAGCAACAGAAGACTATTCGACGATTGAAGATCAATGGGGGGGCAGGCGCAAGTACTATCAATGTTGTTTGAAGGCGCTTCTTTTGATCCGCAGTCAATCTCTTCGGGTATAGAGAGGCTAGTAGAGAGCAGCCCCAACCGCACATGACTGCATATTTGTTGTTTTTTTTCCTATCGGATTAGTTGCGTTGTCTTGGGAGTGACTGCTTGTTACAACCGGATTTGATTATCACTCTTTGCAAAGCCGGCTGAGACTCCTAGGTGTGAATTCACCAAAGAACACCGGGCTCCCCAGGCGTGAATTCAAAAAACATATCGGAGACCCCAGTGCCCAGGCGTGCATTCAACAACAAAACAATTACAAGCGGAACCCCCAAGGCGTGATTTCAAAGCAGGTGATTCCAAAACAAAAAGCACCGGAGCCCACCTGGACCCCCAAGGAACCCCTTTTTGTCCTGCCTTTGACCCACAAAAAGGGGTACAGAGGCAGAAGAAAGGTGCCCAGGCAGATGCGCCATTGTTGTTGTTGGCATGAGGTTAAGCGTTTTTTTCTTGTCGTGGGGGAGGGCAGAGAATGCCATTGTGTGGGACTTCCTCTCCAAATGAATGTGGTTTCGTTGGTTTCCCTTAAAAAAACAAAAAAAAACACAACCAAAAGGGCAAGTGCACTCAACGCGGGCTTGCCGACAGCCGCTCGGGCAGGACAATGATGAGTCCATCGGTGTGAGCGTCATCAAGAGTCTGGAGGCTTTGACCAAGAAGACAGTCCCAAGCTCAAGCAGAAAGTGGCAGAATGGGGGGGGGCCGGGTGTCACGGAGGTTTTCAGCGTCTTGGCTTCTTGAATACGTTTAAGAATGCGCCAAATACTCCTTTCGACTGGAGCAAAGTTGCCTTTCGGGGCTCCAGGTTCCAGCACGTCCCCTTTCAAGCTATTAAACAAGCGAACTTGTTGCCAGGACCCAAGGTCCATTGAAGACAGGACCCGTCACGGTTCGGGGGGCACGGTTCGACGTTCATCACAAGAAAGCGACTCGAAGACACCTGCCACCACCGTAAAACAACCACCACGAGGGACAATTGGAGGTATATACATGTAGTCGCTGTAAAGTTGACTGGCTCACTCTCCCTTGGGCAGTGACTTTGTGTTTGAGCTTGGAACACACACTTCCTGAGCAACCTGAGACAGGTTGCGACCTCCTTTCAAAGAGAGTGGGGGAGAGGGCATCGTCGTCCCCCAGATGCACAGATATGCTGTTTCTAAACGCTTCCTGTGTCAAACCAACCAAACCGAACGTGAACAGAAGGGGGCGCGCAATTCGGAAGCTCGCCCTTGGCACAGTCGATTAAGCCGTTTCGCGCAGTATGATTTTCTAGGTCCCCCAGTAGTGCCCTTTTACCCTTTTTGGGGAGGGTTCCCCTAAAAAAATACCGCAGAAAAAAGAAACGGTGCCCTTCTACTGGAGGACCTTGGTTTTGGTTTGACGCAACATGGTCACCTGACCACCACGGCCACCCAAGAGGTAGCCTTTGCAGGAAAAAAAGCTCATCTTTGAGGACCTCCAGACAGGTTCCATCTGTCACATCTGCAATTCGTTCGTACCATCAAACAAACGTTCTCCATGGATCCTGACTTGTTTTCTTGGTAGCGACTGGAGCTGAAGAGAGATCTTTTGAAGGGAGAAGGGAAACCAAGAGGACACCAGCTTTTCTGAAGAAGACACAGTTCTTGGCGCACAGTGTCTCAGGTGAACATACACAACCACTTGAGCAAGGCACATCATCACTAAGGTATCGCTGTTCATCATCCCTTGCTCAATGAGTTTTGCAGATTTGGAGGTTCGGTTTGTTCAACGGCCCATCCGTTTTGTTCTGTCAAATATGACTGGGATCGCCCGGTTCCGGGCTGCAAAATGTTGGTTTCAACGGGTGTAGATCAGGGTTGTGGGATCAAGGGGGTATCCAACCACTTCTGTGATACAAAAAAAACAACTTTAGAACAAATTGGTCTTTGGGGTTAGGCCCTTTCTGTTGTAGAAGTGGTCATTCCCCACAGCCCTGTTCTAGACAGGCAAAACAAACACACAATTTCGCTTCTTGGCCGTCACTTGGTTGTGAAAAGCTCTGCAGATTCGCACACCTACAACCCGCCCATGGTTTTTGAGGACGCTCCTTTGCAACCAGCCCAACAACCCAACAGCCGACCCAGCAGCAACACAGCCCAGAGCCCTGCCCAACCAGCCCAACCGCCCATCAACCAGCAGCGACCCCCTTGTTGCGCGACCCAACTTTTTGGGTCTCCGAGAAGCTGAAAACTGTTGAGTGGGGCCCTGGCGCCGGCTCGACGAAGCTCGCCGGGTCAGTTCTTTCGCGCGGTCTTTTTTTTTCGAGGTCCTGCCAGCTTGGTGCCCGACCTCTCACCGATTCTTTTTTTGGGGGAGGGGGAACCCCCTACTAAAATAGGCTGCAGAAAAGAGTTGGCGCACTCTTTCCGGCCTCTCAAATCTGGAGGACCTAGTTTTGTTGATAAATTCGGGCTCCAGAAAACGGAGCACCAGACCAGGAAGGCCACCAGCTTTGGGGGTTCCCCCATTTTGAGACAAGCCTCGACCAACCCGACGGCGCTTCCGATCGCTCGAGGTCTTCCGGGGCAGCAAAGGCCAGGAATGGCTTTCGCTCTTGCCGCTTTCGTCGGTTGCCCACCATGGAAGCCAAGGACAACCCCCCAGCATTCCATCCAAAGATCAAAACGTGCGAACCAAGCAGGAATCAAGATGGGTGGCCAAGGGAAACCACAAAAAAAGACAAAAGATATTCGCCTCCCGGCGGATTCGCCGGGAGGACGCCCTTGAGATCAGATCAGGTGCCACGCCGAAGTTGGGCCCGGGGGAAAGTTGGAGACTCGGCCGGGAGAAAGGCGGCCTGCCAAAAGAAAACCGCCACCATGCGGGCCCCGTGTGTTTTGTTTTCTTCTTTCTCCCACGACAAGCCATGGAGGTAGGTGTTTTGGTCGTGTTTTTTTTTTTTGTCTTTCGGGGTCCGCTTAAATGATTCCCCAGCTTCCGGATGTTGAACTGCTTTGGAAGGCCCGTGGTTATTTGTGTTGTGTTTGGGACGACTGTGGGAGTTGGACTTTCAGGCATCAATTTCCTTCCTGGAAACCTTCAACCATGCGAGTTTTAACGGGCAGCAGTAGATTGCAACTTTGAAGGGGGAATTCTTGGAATTTTTAGGCTTCCACCACTAAACATGGAGCGTGACGTTCGGGGGTCCTGGAAGTCAGTGTTTCTTTCGAAGGGACCCCCTTTTGACAGGTTCCATGTCAATTGGAGGTGGGTACGTTTGTTTGTATTTGAAATTCTTAGTGTTTAGCAGATCTGTGGAATGTTGGGTTTTAGCACATTTTTGGACAGGGGTCAGGTTCCCTGTAATGCTAGACCCCCCACTTGGAATTGGGTCCTCTATTGTAGCAAGTGGTTGTTCGCAATTCAGGATCCTGCGACTGTGGATGATGAAAATGATAAAATGATGATGATGAAAATCATGATGATGATGATGATGATGATGATGATGAGCATGATGATGATCATGTTCATCATCATCATCATCATCATCATCATCATCATCATCATCATCATCATCATCATCATCATCATCATCTTTAGCATCATCATGTCATCATCATCATCATCATCATCATCATCATCATCATCATCATCATCATCATCATCATCATCATCATCATCATCATCATCATCATCATCATGTTCATCATCATTTGCACATAAACGCTTGAAGTGTTTTGGGATCCTCTATTGTGGCAAGTTGTGATGCAAAAAAAAATGACCAACAAATTGCCCAAAAACAACAGGGCAAACAAGTCTGGCAAACACTGGCAAACATTAGGATTGTTTTTGAAGCGATCCCCAAACCATCAATGCTGGGCTCTTTTTAGTGTCCAACATGCTTGGGGGGTTGCTACACAAAATGCTCTTCCCAGCTAAATTAGAATTGGCGATGCTGAACTTAAAGAGGGAATCTGAGAGTTAGTCTTACCTAGGGCTTCAAGAACCTGTAAGAATGTCGTACCCTGACTAAAACATTGTTTTTTCTCGATTTTCTGAAAACATCGTGCTTTCAGGAAAAACATTGTTTTTGGTCAAAGGCAAGGGTCGGGAGTGGAATTCACACAGGCATCACCCATTAAGATTTCAACTGAGGGCAACGCTCTATACTGAGCATGCTTCAAATTCTAAGGACCACATTGATGAGCCTGACAGCCAGGGTGCGCAGCTGTCTTCAGTCCTTAAGTACCTTCGCAGCAACAAGGCACCTGAATAAAGCGCGGCAAGCCGTGGAAATTCTATGGGTTTTTCGGGCTCAGTAGAACCCAGCAGGCGCATCAGGGTGGCGGGGATGGTTCGCGAACCCATCCACATTTCCAGCAACAAAACCATGTGGTCGGGATCTGCAGGCTTGAATGGCACTGTGCACAAACAGTGGCCAGCTGGGCTTGCCAGGCCTTCACGCTTTCCACCTTTGCTCCGTGACGGCGGGACCCCAGCTGCATGCAATCTCTTAGGGAGCAAGAAGCCTGGAATTGCAAAAGATTCTGCGCCCCCTCCCATACCACAAATCGACAAGCAAACAACGTGAAGCAGGAGCACATGCATAAGCAGCTCGGCGGCGGGCAGGAGCAAAGCATGGGGACTGATGCATCAAGCTGGTTGATGTCAATGCGCGCAGGTAGTGGAACCCTTGCACCAGTGAAAGCAACACAGCCATGCTGACGTACCAGAGCCTGGTCATCAGGGCGAGACCGGACAGACTTCACAAGACGGCGACCAATGCACTTCACCCGGGGTTGCACTGGCCTGCAGAGCCACGTCCACGCAAGCCGTCAACCAGTCAGTGCGTGAAGAGGATTCCATGACCGTTTAGCGGTGGGCTTGCGTGACGTGGGCAGCCGCGCCAACGCGCAGGCTTGACGCTAACGGCTCATTTTCAATCGGAAATGTTCAAAACCCGCGTGAAATGGGCCTTCCTTTTTGGGGGAAAGAGAGGGCGTTGGCTGTGGCTCAAATTTTCAGGTTGTAGTCTACGTTTCCGTTTACCAGATAACCCATGTTGGGCCGAGTCCTATTTTTGACCCACACCCAGTTCTTGAAAGGCTCATTGTATAGGTCGATGAAACCCGTGGTCATTTCGGACGCTGGTGCCCAGAGGTTCCGACAAAGCCAAGGGTGAATTTGCCGTAAACTTGGTTCATACCAGGGGTTCATACACATTCAGCTTCTGACTATTGTCATGTGAGGTCTACACATTTCTTGGATGCCCCTTTTCGGGGTACAAAGGACGGAGTTCGCTTTTAAGGGTCTCCTTTTAATTGCCACTGATATAGAAAAATGCTAAGTCTTGAGCCACTTCGCCGCGGCTTTCGGCAGATGCCAAGCTCCAGCTGGATGCCGCGCGGATCTGCCAGATCGAGCCCGGCCCCCAAGTCTCCAAATCGCGCGCGGCGGTTTGTTTCCGCCAGGAACGCATAAAGTCTTTTTTCATTGCGAAGCGCTTTTTGGGGGGAGGGGTTGAGTAAAGACGGCCGCCCACACGTCAGCGTGATCCATTTTGAGTTCAAGCGCACATGTGAGTTCATGTTCATTCCCAGACTGAATTGGGTTGTTCAAAGCCCCGCAAGATCCGTCGCCAGGCGAACGGGTCATTGCAGAGGCAAGTTGCGTAGGATTCTCTCGTTCAACAGCGAACGCTCGGGGATATACTTGTCGGGAACGGGGCGAGCATCAAGTTGGGACTTGTCTGATCCCAACCCTTTCCAAGGCGCAACCATTGCGTCTCCGGCAGATTTGGCTGCGCTCAAGCCAGGAAGACGGGTGTCAACGTTGTTCACTTCGATCCGTTTCACGCCTGCCATGTTGCGAGCTCTTGCCGTGGTGGCCGTCATGCAGGCGATGTGGCTGCAGGGCTGCGAGGAATCCTCCGCTGACAGCGGAGGCGGCTGTCACCGGTTGCCAGCAGATGTTGTTCCCCCACCCAACAAGTTTGGCACTTAGGCTACAGAAGCACCAATTAGAAACAAGTGGTTCCTGGCCACCTTGAGGATTGTACGGTTGAGCCCAATCTATGTAAACTGAGCACAGTTGATGACGAGCAAGCGGTGACACTCGAGTGCCACTCAAACGCGCCAGCCGACTGTAAGTTGCCTTTTCGTGACCGCAGGCCTCTGCGCGGCACTCAAATGACGGCCCCCCCCCAAATGATAATCCGGATTTGGGACTTCCGAAACATGTTTGTTGTTTTTTGGGAGACGTTTATTTAATAGAGGGAAGTGACTAGGTGGGGCATTGTTGGAAGTGAAGTAGGTCTACTACCAGCGCTTTCTACCCTGGTGCCCTCAAGCGTTGCCATCCACCATACGAGGAGCATGGGTTTTGGCATGTGTTGGCCAAGCTCCCTAACCGCGATGCTTCTTATTTCAAAGTTGTGCAGGTGTGGGGGGAGGAACCACCATGCCTGCCACCGCCGCTGGCACCACGACCGCCGCTGGCACCACCACTGCTGGCACCACGACTACCACAACGACGACCACCACAACGACAACCACCACAGATGATGTGAACCTCGCCAGCATGACCCTCTATTCCTCCAGCAACTTTGAATCTGACAGCACATCTGCTACTGAGGTTTTCCGGGTGAACGGTACGAACAATGAGAATTCCATTCGCGTCAGGTTCAACCATGGCACTGGCAAGACCTTGATTGGGGAGTCGAATGGCAACAAATATCTGCAGGTGGTGAGGGATTCCAGCAACACATATGTGCAGATCGAGGCAAGCATCGGCATGGATCATGACGCGCCTGACAGCCTTGGCGGCTCCACACACCAGGTGGGTATGTGTCAAGTTAGAGATTGGGACCCCAAAAATGGTCTTTGGGGGTTTGCCTCTTGGTTTCCCTTCTACAAGCCTTGAAAAGTGTGCCTCAAACTTAAACCCCATCCCAGGTAGTAGATCTCGCTGTGATGGGGAAGTACATGACCAGCGGTACATGGCCTGCTGGCTGCTATACTTCCCTTGGCCTTGGTTCCGGGAATCTTGTTTCTAAAGTGGAGACCGTTGGAGCAGTTTCTACATGGACGGACTTCACAATCGCCGTGGGCACCACCCTTCCCAGGGCTGACTGGACCGCTTGGGAGTTCTTTGTTGATGTGCTGCCCAACGCTGGCTGTGAGGATGTCTCAGTTTTCGTGGACGATCTGAGCGTATATGCCAAAGCTGCGCCCAAAGCATGACCTGACTGGCATCAGGCAGCTGCTGCGCATGCATCAGGTTTGTTTTTGCCCGGTCTACAGCTAGGCTGATCATCTCAGCGACTGATCGGCGTTAGATCTAGTCTGGCTGAAGCGGGCATGTGGGCATTTGTCTAGCATGGGTATGCTCCCTGTGCGGAGGTCGCAAGAGTAGAGTCGTACTTGTTTGTTTCATATTGGGGATGGCGATTGGGCATTCTGATATTAGCTGTGCTGCTCTTTCAGCATGTTTAGACATGTCGACGTTGGTTTGAGGAGCAAAAGCAGTAGTGACGAAAAGGACACGTGGTGACGTACAGTACAAGGAATATAATCCCGTTCTGTATCTCTTCCTCCGGCATGTTAGGTTCTTAATTCTTCTAGTCCCTCACCTGTGACGCTCCGCGCTAGACACCGCTTGCCTTCACTTCGGACTTGCGGTGGCCTGTGATCGGTGAGCCGCGGACTGGCGTCGTTACTCGAAACGCAGGACTCTCAATGTGACCAGTGATGAATTGATCAGCCCGAAATATACCGCCAGTCTGCCTTGCGCCCCGGGCTGTGAAGCGAAAGCGCAGAATCATGCTGGATCATGATGTCGCAGGTCACCTTTTTCTCGCGGGAGTTTGAGCCCGCCAGGCAACCTCGAGCGGGAGTGACAACGATCGCTCTCATCGATATTCGGCACGCGAACTTCTCGAGACTCAGTGACTCGTGGCGAAGAATCCGCGCGCCTTCAAAGAAAAAATGCCGCGAGAGGCGACCGATTCACTCAGTCCAAGGCGACCGGATCTGGCGATCTGGCCGCCTTCTTGGTCCATTCCGAGTCATGGAAAGGCGATCCCTGCCTCAGCTAGGTACCTGCTACCTTCCAACGAAGTTGGGCACACACTTGGCAAGCACATGCTAGCAGTCCCCCTCAAAATTTGGATGCCCCTTCTCGGGAACCGGGGGACCACCTCGTGATTTGTGGGACTCCGAGTTTACATCAAGTTGGGTCTTAGCAGCCCGGACCCCCCAGGAACCGGCTGAAGTTCGACCCTTCTCTGCAGATCGAGAAGAAGCCACATGGCCTGAGAGCAAGGACGTGGGGTAGAGAAAGGAGAGCGTAAGACCTAGCCGAAACATACCTGAACCCTCAAGAAAGGAGTTCCTGGACTCAATATTGTTACTATATGCTTGTTTTCTATTGTTGTTATCATTGTTACTATGGGTGTCTTTCTTTGAGGGTGCCCGTTTTAGGATATTGTTGTACGGGAGACCGAAAGGAAACCACTCATTGTTCGCGGCCCCCTATTTTTCGAGGTGCACCTATTTGCTGTTTGGGTTTGGACCATGTTAGTGGCAAGCAAAGTTATGACTTGTGTGGCTAGTCCACTCAGGAAGTGAGATAAAAATCCAATATGAGTGGAGGTCTAAGTTTGGGCAGGGTACGGGGATCACAGTTGACGAACAGGGACCAAAAAAGGGCGGTTTTTACTTGAAGAGGCGGGGGGTTCCCTTTTCAGGAGCCCCCAAAGGCGTTCCATCACAGGGTTCCAAGCATCCCAATGAGAATCAAGCAATGAGTGGCGGACATTTGCTTGGTGTTCTTTCAATGTGCATTGCCACGGCTACCGGAGGTTTGGCAAACATCTCCAGAAGTCGATGTTTGAGTTTGGGAGGACATGGAGGGACTCACTCAATTTCTCGCAAGTATGAGGAACTAACCCCATGTCTTGCGGGAACAAAGAACTTCAGCCAGGGACCAATGTCCTACTCTTTTGATCGGGACATAGTGACCCTGAAACAGGTCCTGCTTGGGCTTGCATCCATTCTGGAGCTGTTCGATTAGAGCCCGCTGTAAATTGTTTCTTGGGGTGCCAATTGAACAGGAAGCCCTTCATTTCTTTGGGAAGGTGCCCGCTTTATCCCGAGCCGACCTTAAGGTGGTGCCAACATTGCCGCTAGTCACAGAACCGCAGGGACAGGTCTGAAAGGAGGGCCGCAAGGCTTGGGACAAGTCCGCCCAAGTCCTTTGGCTGGGCAACTGGAGAAGGTTGGGCAGTTTTTTTTGTTTTAATTATTATTATTATTATTATTATTATTATATTTTTTTTCTGGGGCTTGATTCCATCTCCATTATTTTCAACCACCGTTCTTTTCAAAAACCGGATCTGTGTCCATCCTGGTTTTTGAGGGTTTCCTGAAAAGATTCGGATCCCTGAAAAAAATGGGGAAGGTACCCTAGAAGTTTAGGCTATGCCCAAAGTTTATGGAGAGGATGCTGACCAGCTCTTTTTTTTTTGCGCCACCTGCCTGCTTGCCTGCTGTTTGGTTCGTCCTTTAGAATGCAACTGGACCAAAAAGCTGACCGCTTCGCCAAGAAACAGCCACCTCATGTCATCCACGTGGAATATGATGGAATATGTATCATCTTGCGCACGCACGCTGCGAATACTTTTTCAGACAACCTCCGTCACCAATAGCCGGGTGGCTGCAAAAGCCTGTGTTTTTGCTCATTGATCACTTTTTTTAGAGGATTTGCCCTCAATTTGGTTTTGCAAGAAAAAAATCATTTGTTCAACCTACTTGACCGAAGAATTATTGGTTGTTCCCCATGAAGCAACGGCTGTTGTTGTTTGCTCATGCACCGCACCAACATTTAATTGATACCAATTGAAGGAAGTGGACATGCGAGCAAAGCGGCTCAGGTCTGATGGTACTCCTCTGTGGGAGTTTCCGGACCGGCGGTTGACGCGGTCGATTGCTTCGAGCGGCCCCAAGCTCGTCTTAGTTGGCCATTGGAATTGGGGCTCTGCCTATTTACTGTGGATGGACGAAATCCATTTCGCATTACAAACTGAAGCCATGGTTCAATCCATTGTTTGGTGGACAGTGGAATCGTTCCAGGGTTTCTTAGGTGGTGCAGGATTTCGTCCGTCCACAGTGGTACCGTGCTGAACTTTTGTTAAGCAATAGTAGAAATGCGGATGGAAACCTGTGGCAACCAGTTGCAGGACATTATGAAGGAAGTACGCTAAAGATCTCTAGCGCTGTTTTAATTTGTTTTCGAGCAATGTTCCCTTCATAAACAACTGGTTACCAACACAGGCTGCCCTTCTTGCCTCTGGCAGGCAAAAGAGAGAGCCTGCTTGAACAAAGTCATACCTGCAAACGAATCGACCTGATCTGACCTTTGGTTTTGCCTTGTTGGTCCGCTTTTAGTCATCGCCCCGAAAGGTGATCACCTTTTATCGCCAGGTCAAGGGGCAACTGACATGTTACTCGTGTCCTGCCAAATTGGTGCCCATCTTACACCATCCAACTCCCCAGTGTGTTGTGCTGTTTCTTCGCTCCCCAAGTTCCGAGTTCCGAGTTCCCGGACTGGAACAACTTCACATGGTTGTTGGGAAAAATGTCTTCCATTTGTGCTTGTGGTTGAGTGGTTGAAATCCAACCACTTAACTACCAAGTGTCAATGTTGCTCCCCTTCCAAGGTCAACCAAGTTGAGAAGACAACCTCAGCTCATGTTCGCAGCATCCATTGTGGACTCGTTGCCAGGCCACAGGTGGGCCACTTGCTCAAAACCCGGGTAGAAGGTTAGTAAGGGGTAGGCCCAATCATGGTGCAGCCACCTTTGGAATTCTTTACATTCTGGGTGGACGATTTTAATACCAGGTTTGGGTTGTCCTTCTGCGACCAAAGTTGATCATTGCATGTTGCGATGTTCTCAACCCCCAGAAAGAACCAGAGGGCGCCTTGACAAGGGCGTTAAAATGGCAAGTGCCCTTACAGCTCCCCTTTGGCAGAAAACTCCAACCCGCCTTACTGGGAAGAAACACAAAGCTGAGTGCTGGACTCCCAAGGTTGCCACCAGGTCACCCGAGTTGGTTGTGATGGCAAGCCTGTTGGTTGTGATGGGAAGCAGCCCAAAGTTTTCATGTTTTTTGCAAGCACCAAGCAGGGGTCGCTGTGTCTTGCTTGCGGGAACCTGCTTTGGGGTTGACACGGAAGCGGTGTCATTCTCGGGGTTAGCATATTTGTACGCATGTGCACGTTGCAAAAACCTCAAAACGGGACATACGGAAGCTTGCCACGACAGGACTTTCTCATGGTTGAGCAACCTTCATTTCGAACGCACTTTGGAGACAACCAATCGCTGTACAAACCAATCGCTTAGCCGCTTGCCTTAGGATCTCACCCTCTCCCTTGACCCCCACAAACCCGTCGGAGTGGAGTGTTGGAATGAACACGCCAGGAGAACCCCGCAGAGTTCGTGAAGAAGAAGCTCATCAAGACCGGGTCGCGGGAAGTGCCGTCTTCAATTTGATGAAGCAACCCATGCATCTTCGGAATCCACGAGACAAACAGGGTGCAATTCTTGAGAGTTCCCAATTGGGCCTGTCTCAAAATAGGGGGAGCGCCCAAGCAGTTGTCCTTTTGGTTTCCCTTTAAGCCAAACAACAAAGGGGTGCTGTCCCAAAAAAAGACAGGTAAAACTGGCCCACCTTCACAAATGGGCTTCAGTCATTGTCATCATGTACCCACCTCAGGGTGTAAAAACTGATTCAAATGATCCAGAAAAAATGGGGGGAAAAACAAGCTATGTGATGGGAACATTTGCAAGTTGGCTTTGGTCTTCCTGCACGAACTCACTCAACTTCCCCAATCAAAAAAACTCATGTCCAATGTCCTTAGGTTTCAAGACAATTCAAGACCCCCGCGATTTTGGACGTTCCATTTATAGTTTCGTGTCGAAGCCCATGATTCAGAGCAACTTCCCCATTCCCTTTCTGGCGGAATATATAGTGCGGGTTTCCAATTGACCCACTAAAACTCAAACTTTTAGCAGGGGTGTGAGGACAGCCCAAAAAACGGAATGGACATCTATTTGATTCGCTTCGCAAGCATTTGCTCACGGGAACGGATTCAAGGCGAGCCATGTGAAATCAGCCACTCGGAATCTCCCGCATTCTCGAAAGCCTTGTTTGGCACAGTTTTACATATGTAGAGTCCATAG